CTATCAAAATGGCAGCGTCGTCAAGATGCCCGATAAGAACAGCGCCTCCGCCTCCAGCCCAAAACGGCAACGTACAACCTTCGTCCAGTGCTAGTTTGACACAAGCCCCCTCCGAGACGACATTCCCTCAACACGACCAAAGTACTGAACCGACCACCCCGGCCCGCAACACGACTTCTGCCTCGGCGATCCTGGAGGCTCGTAACACCCATTCACCACATCGCTTTTCGTCTCCTCCCATCTACGAAGCAAATGGCGCCGATGCCTCTTCATCTTTGCAGGTCCCCCCCAACACTGGTCTGAAGCAAAGACACACCCTTGAAGTGCCTAAGGTGCAGCCAGGCAGGAGCTCCAGGGACGGACACGACACGGCTTTTGCAAGCGGCCGGTTCTCCCCAACAGCGGCGACGGCAGGAGTTCGTAGGGCATCACTCAGTCTGGGACGCAGGAACACAAGGTCACTGCAGTCCGATGCGCCGCGCGATGACGTAGTGCCCGATGAGGACGCCCTTCGCTGGGCAGAAGCGTACCGCCAGAAAAGGGCAAGCAAGAGAAAGAAGAAGGAGGAGGAAGACGACGATCGTGTGCTTGTTGGTACCAAAGTCGACGAGCATCATGCCAACTGGGTTACGGCATACAACATGCTTACAGGCATCCGTGTCTCCGTGTCGCGTACCAACGCCAAGCTTGACAGACCACCCACAGATGCCGACTTTGTTGCCAAACAAAAGTCCACCTTTGACATGTAGGTCCTCGAACGCCCTTTGCTACGATACGAGAGAGGCTAACCCATTCAGTGCTGGCAATGAACTTGTCCCGTCGGCCAAATACGACTTCAAGTTTAAGGACTACGCACCATGGGTCTTCCGTCGGCTGCGCTCACTTTTCCGACTTGACCCTGCAGACTACCTCATGTCTCTCACAGGAAAGTACATACTCTCTGAGCTCGGTTCTCCGGGCAAGAGCGGAAGCTTTTTCTACTTCTCTAGGGACTACAAGTACATCATCAAGACCATCCATCATGCCGAACACAAGTTTCTTCGCAAAATTCTCAAGGATTATTACCAGCATGTCAGCGACAACCCCAACACTTTGCTGTCTCAATTTTACGGCCTTCACCGTGTCAAGATGCCATATGGCAAGAAGATTCACTTTGTGGTCATGAACAATCTTTTCCCGCCGCACCGGGATATCCACTCCACCTTCGATCTTAAAGGCTCGACTATTGGTCGAGATTATCGTGAGGAGGACCTGGACAAGAACCCAAGGGCCACCATGAAGGATCTCAACTGGTTGAGGCGGCAACGCTCTCTTGAGCTAGGTATCCAGAAGAAACGACTTTTCCTGGAACAGCTCAACCGAGACGTCGCACTCATGAAAAAGCTAAAGATAATGGACTACTCGCTCCTCGTTGGTATCCACGACGTATCCAGGGGGAACGAGGAGAACTTACGGGGCAAGACTCTACAGGTGTTCAACCCAGGTGGCGACGCCACACAGGACGATGCTGAACCTCAGTCGGTGCTTCTGAGAACCCCATCAAAGTTGGAGAACGCACGAAAGGCCAAGGAACTGAGACAGATGATCCGTCAAGAACGGCCCGTGCCCATGGGCGCCTCCAACAAGATGCCGGACGAGCTAGACGAAGCGCACAACAGAGCGGGCTTCATATTCAACCAGGACGACGGCGGCCTCCGAGCCACACACGAAGACAACTCTCCAGCTGACGAAATCTACTACCTGGGAGTGATCGACTGCCTGACTCACGTAAGCTTAACCAGCACTCTTGTGGCATATTGGCTTTTGCTAACGTATGTAGTACGGAATGATCAAAAAGATTGAACACTTCTGGAAGGGGTTAACAAATGATAGAAATCAAATCTCTGCCACCCCTCCCAGTCAATACGGAGATCGTTTCTACCATTTTGTGGAGGGCATCACTATGTCACCAGAGCAAGCTGCCCGGGAGAAGCAACAAAAACAAGAAGAAGAGGCAGCGGCAGCTATTGTGAGCGATAACCAGAATCAACGCGTCTCCAGCTGGAGAAGCTCAAACTCCCGGCGACGATCCAACTCGACGTCAGCGCCTCCCATGCCCTCCCATCAACCGCCGCCAGCCCCTCTGCCAAGTGGACAAAAGTCTCCCGAGGCGCAGGAGGTTATCGAAAAAGCTGAGCTCGTGGCACAGAGGTCAGCGGAGCGTGGTGCGTCGGAAGAGTCTGTTCCAGACAAGGTCATGACGACGATACCAGCACCTGACAGACGGGAATCCGGACAGACGCAGCCAGTCCTGCCTGTTGTCGAGGAAGCTGCCGAATCACACTCGATTGGAGGACGCAGCCGCGATGGGGACGACGAACATAGGCCTGCAACGCCGGCAAAGCCTGACTTCTTGAACAAGTTGCCAGGGTTCAGGAACTACGCTCCTCCCACGCCACCAAAAACTGGCCTGAAGCCTGAGAGTCAGGACAGCGGGTACGGTGCCATGACGCAGTCGAGGAGCAACGACTCCAAGTCCTTCAACCCAGATGACTCGTTCGGGCTCCAGCCGAGGCTCAGCAAAGACTCTTTCAACAAGGATCTGCCACCTCTGCCTGGCGAGACTGTGCCCGAAACCAGAGCTCGACTTAGCTTTGCATAGCGAGCGAAGCATGACAAGTATTCTGTGCGAGTCAGGGCAGTGAAAGGCATCCCAGTGGTGCCGACAGCTTGAGGCTTGTGGTGCATTCCCCATCATTGCAGGCGAGTCGGCTGTGGCTATCATCGACATGTGCCAAATTGGCGTCCATGCTGGGGGCGGCCAAGCGAAAGTTCTTCATCTACCGTTTTCTTATTGTTCCTTTTGTCCCCGCACTGCGCATGGATGATACCACCACTGCACCGACCTTTCCTTGTTTTTTCTAATGTAACAACTGTAATGCCCATGGCGAACTGAGCACGACATGGTTTCAGGGGTAGCAAAGCAGGAGCGATTAGTGAGCTACAGAGCGCACAGCATAGGCCAAATTGGCAGGTTAGTCAAGGAGTCGGGATAGCAGGTGGGATTTTCCATATTTCTAAATAGATGATTTGACTCATTCGTCTTCATTCCTGATGAGGAAGCCCAGCCCTGGTGATGTGTGTTGTTAACACGGTGTCCCTCATCACTCCTACTTCAAGTCGTTCCATCGTAGACGGCGCCACATATCCGCCCTTAACTTACAAGTCACACATAGGTAACATTAAAATACATTGTACAGCCGAACGTGTAGTGGAGATGTGTCTCGAGCCCACTCAAGAGGGGAGGGTTTGTTGCGTCCAGTGATCCATACATCGGATCGATCTATGCCATGGAGGTCATTATGTTTTTTTCTTACTTCCTTCGAGAAGACAGCATGTCTTGTATATCCTCCCTGCTTGTTCCCTTTGGTACGCCGGTAGTGCCAGCGGAGGTGTTTTCGGTAAAGGACGTGGTAACATCCATCTTGACGGCGCCCTCAGCTTCGAGCTGGGCTATCCTTGCCTTCTTCTGGATGTCTGCCACCCGCCACTGCTTAAAGTATTTGACCTGCGTCCTCGTGTCAGTATGCACTTCCAGACAAAGCGAGAGCGCAGACGCGGGTGCCGGCAGGCGGGCCTGACTTCAGGCGACTTCACGTACCCACGCAGTGGCGCAATCGCGCTCAAACAGCTCGTTTTCGGCCGGGCAGGCCTTGCGCGCGGCCTTGTCTTCCTTGACAGCATCGATGATGTTAGAGCGGTCAAGGCAGGCAAAGTAACTGTCGCGGGCCTCCCAGCACTTCTTGCGCTCGCTGCGGTCGGGGGCTACGGCGCCAGTGCGGACTTCCTCAGCGCGCTTGTCGTCGGCACTCGTGGACCAGGAGAAGAGAGCCATGATGGACGGGTATCGGGTGGGGAAATAATTGAATTTTGTCTTTCGGCGGTTCGTCAGCTTGTGAATGGCACAAACAAGAGCGGTCGTCGTGAGAGTGGTGTTCGCCTCTGGGCTTGGAAGACCGTGGTGGGGACGTCTGTATGTCCTCCAAAGCTCGACCAGATTTTGGAAGGTTTGGGGGGCAGGACTCGGGCGGTGAGCTCATCGGGCCTAGCGTTCCCGAGAATCTGGGGTGGCGCCCTTGAACGCCAACGTTCCAGCTGTTCATTTGCCGTCCTTGAGCGAAGGTCCGCAGCGCTAGACTGTATGCCAATGACCCTGCGCCCAGCATCCTCGATCTTCGACCACCATCACATACAGCTCGATTCCAAAAAAACGCACACGGCAAGCGTGTCCTCGGAGCGCACGCCCTGCTGGAACTCCTCTCGCTCATGCTCCTGTCGTAACGACTCAAGCGGCAGCCTCGACGACCAAAGGCTTCAGCCAACTTCCCGCCCCCCAACCCCCCCTGATTGCCTGTCGCAACACGACCCTCCTCAGCAAAGCGCCATGCCGCGCAGGAGGAGGCCGCCGCGCGCTGGCGCCATGGCCGAGCTCCCGCCCTTGAGGATCGCCACTCAGATTGCGACTCTGCAGGCTCTTTACTACGTCGGCGCCATCATCCTCATGCTCTTTACGGCCCTCGTCGCCGGCATCTCGTTTACTCTTGATGTCGTCTTCGGCTGGGATGCCGTCAGGGGAGACACAACACAAGGCTGGCTCTGTGGATTCGTCTTGGTCCTCGATGGCGGGTTTTGCATGTACGGTTCTCTTGACACTTCCCTCTACTCGTACCCTCCGGCTTCTTCTTCCCCCCCCACTCCTTGAGTTTCCCTTGAGTTTACACCTCTGGAGATGCCCCAATGGCTGACACTGCGCGCGCGCACACACACAGGGCGATAGCCATTATCCTTCTCGTTTCCCGCTCGAAGCTTGTGCCCGACTTTGCCGTTACCATCCATGCCCTTCATCTTGTCATTACAACGCTGTACACTGGTCGCGTGCCCCGCAACGCCATGTGGTGGGCCTGCATGATGGCATCTGCAGGATTATGCGCCGCACTCGGCGTCTGGGGCTCGAGATATCGTGAGCTGCGCCCCATATACTTTGGCGGCAGTGGTGGTGGCGGTGGTAATGGAACTGGTGGCAGACCTGGAGCGGGTGATGATTTGCAGTCAAACGGGGGGGGCCCAGTGGAAGGTGATGAGGAGCAAGGGTTTTCGAGGGGAAGGGGGCGAGGTAGGGGAAGAGACGGAACAGGAGAGTATGAAATGTTAGGCATCAAGACGGCTGATTAGAATAGACACCCTTTTGCAGTAGACAATTCACTTTGTTATAATGAGATATTGGTCAAGGTTAGGTACCGACAACTTGGCTTTTCGGTTGCAGTGATTTTACTTGTTTCCTCCTCTAAACAATACCTCTAGCAAAAATACCATATTGATACCGAGCGATTTCTGTTTTAGGAGCGGATCAAAGGTATGTGTATGGTTTATCAGTGATGCATTGCCCTCTCACCTCGCAAGGCTTCGATCAAGCTGGGCTTAGGTGTCTAGCAGGATCGCCGACTAAGGGGACGATGAGGAACCCCCAGAATCATCAGACCCATCCTTGGATCTCGTCTGTCTGTGTCCTATTTTTTTGATCAGAACTGTTCCGGATGTATTGCGCCTCTCTATTCCTTCGCCATCGAGAGGAAGATCGGCCGCAGGCGAACAAACGCTTCGTTCCGCGAGTTGCGCCACGTAATCGGCAACAAAGTCGTCGTGAGCTACATCCACATCGGAGGGACTGTTGGCAGTAACTGTTCGATCTTCGCAATTTTCGGCACAAGATATTACGCTCGAAGTCTCGTCCTTTGTCCCCAAAAGTTTGGCAAGGTTGTTCTGTGAACCCCTATGCCTCTTTACATGGGCGAGGATCTCACTTCGCTCTTTTTTGAGAGCCTTTGAGTCCGAAGCTTGTGGAATGTAAGTTACCAGTGGATCAACAGCCTGGTAGGCACCAGGAAGAACCCCCAAAGAAGTAAGGTCCGGCGAAGGCCCTTCGTGTTTAGTTGTCGTGTCCGTAAAGATCTGCGGCTCCGCTGTCGCGCTGAATGGCTCAATGACCACCCAGCCTCCCTTGACATGTATGACCTGCAACAAGGACCAGTCGATCTTCCGGGACTGTCTTCCAGGTCTGGTTTCAGGGCCTTTGGTATTACGAGGCTCGGATGGTCGACGTTGATTACGCCTGGCTTGACCATGCAAGTCGTCAAATATGCCTGTGAAATCGCGTTCGAAACTAATAGAGGTCAATGAATCGGGTCGCAACTCATCGCAGCCCTCGTGATTTACTCCCGTCTGAGACTCTTCGCCTGGCAGTGGACTTTCGTTGCGAAGGGAATCATTTCTGCTGGCAGTATCGGCTTGATGCGTTTCGAGACCTTGCCCGATAGCTTCTCTGTTCCCTTCCTGGCGTGACAATCTGTCATCTAGTCCGTGGACATTAAAGTGACCAAACTGCCACTAGCGTTTGGGCCGTTCTAATCTAGTACTCCCGAAATGATCCCCAGTCCAGAGCGATCCTTGATATTCTTCGTCACAGGTACTTCTAAGAGGCTGTGCCGCACGCACATGTCCCTCGTTGTTTTGCGTAGGGTCTCCACTCGAAGTAGCGGGCAACGGAGAACTGCCTCTGCTGACTCGACTCTCTTGAATTGAAGCGGCCGAAACATCCAGAGTCGTTGTTGATGTTACCTTGTTTGGTGAGTCCAGGTCCTCAGGACTTTGAGGGAGAGTTCGTGATGCTTCAGATAGTCGATCCAGGTTTCCCGCCGCTGACAGGAGACCGGCCATGGTAAGACTGTCTACCGCTTGCATACATTGGGTAGTTGTCTGGTATTCTTGGGTATGTTGAGGCTGATCTGGACAGTTCTCAGACTTTGATACCTGGACTGCCGGCGTGTGGAATGGGCTAGTTTCGTCCGATGAGTGTTCATCCTGGGGCTCTCGAGCCATGCGCCTTCGACCACAGCCTGGAGATACAGGACGCTCAGATTCTTTAACGTTCTCGGGACTCGAAAGTCGTTCGTGGCGAAGGAGATTTCCAACCTGACGAATATGTTGAGCAAGCGTCTGCCGGAAACCTGGCTGCCGTGTAACCCCCGACACTGGTGATAAGGGGGCAATTTGGGGCTCAGGTAGCCTTTCCCACACTGTTCGATCTTGATCAACAAAATCCTGAGCACGAACCAATTAGGAGATTGAGAGATATAAAGGATAACCGAAAGAGCCTAACCTTCTGGCTACTGAGACTTGACCATCTTGAGTGTCTTCTTCCTGTGCCGGCATGCTGTGTCGCAGACGTCCGACTGATGCGGCGACGGTCTGCACCTATTGGAAGATTCCTGTTAGATGCTCTTATGCATTTCGGGTCTTCCCCTGTTGACCTTCTCCTGCTGTTTTGCATCTGTTGCGGTGCGCGAGTCGTTGGCACATACCCAACTCTGCGGCTAGGATGGACATGTTTCGCTGATTCCAACAACATGTCCCATCGCATCACGTAAGGTCTATTCACAGCCTTTTGACGAAAAGAGGCGCTGCTGAATCGGGCGTACTGCCTGGCCACGTCACCGTATTGTTCGGGAGGCGGACAACGATCCTTACGATCGTGTCTAATGTGATTGACATTTTCGACAACCTTCCGCATGTAGCAATGTAAAGCCCAATCAATCCCTTCCGTATCGTTGCCGAATGGACAAAGCGCAATGCCTTTCCTTTTTCTTTGAGCGTCGATGTTATGCTCTTCGGCAGGATGTCCATCATTGCCTGTTCTGCGTGCGTCAGGGAGGTCGTGCAGCGCCAGGAAAACGCAGGAGTTCATCCTCTTGGATCCTTGTGGGAGATCACAAATACTATTCAGCGTGAGATGAATTTGAAGTGGAGGACTCTGTGTCTTGACCAAGAATTGGTGCGACCAGGGAGCAGTACGAGGGATAATCAGAATGTCAACGTGGTTGCTTCTCATGACCGACGACCTCCAAATCATAGGAAGGATGCCATTGGAAGCGCAAGGGATCGTGCTTTATCGGAGATGAAGAACCGAGACGTATGCGCAGCTTCGTCTTGAGAGCAGGTGATTCCAACTCTAAGGGAAATTACCTAGGTAGGTAATTCCGGAAGGCACCATGGGTAAGGTAGCTGTACTAGATGTCCGGATCATGATTGAGCAAGGCTTGTCGTCAAATCAAAGGACCAGTACTGTCACGGAGCAAGTTTGCTTTTTACTTGAGGGTAAGGCTTCTCTAGAGAGTTGTTTGAAATCACAAAAAGTCGGTGTAGGTCAGCCGGTCACGAATAGAGACCCTTAACAGATCCGAAGTCCTGCGAACATTTACACGATGTGAGGCAGGTATGTCAATGAGGTCTTGCCAGGTGGTACCTTACCTAAGGCACCTCACCTAGATTCGAGGTTCGATAAGGTCCGATAACGGACTACTATGTCATCACTGTGCCTCAGTGCCTCGGATGCTGTCGTGCGGCTAACGGCGGGGCAATGATTCGGACATTCCCCCAAGCATTGACCTGACAGCGAGCTCGACAATGAACATCCAGAACACGTCTCCGGCAAGAAATTGAGAACCGGTTCTCAACAGCAGTTGAAGAAGCCCATCATGATGCGATTCATGCTACCGAGGCTCGTGAGGCCGTCCCTGGCCAAGGCCCCAACCGCAGTTACATTCACAATTGGCAATAGGTTTGCCTCCTCTTCCACCGCGCCGGTCTTCGATTGGCAAGATCCACTCGCATCTACAACACTGTTGACTGAGGAGGAACTGGCAATTTCGGAGACTGCGGAGCGATATTGCCAAGAGCAGTTGCTCCCTCGTGTGCTTCGTACGTACAGTTCTGAGGTGCTCTGCAACGCATACACTAACAACACCACACAGAGGCATATCGCGACGAGAACTATGACACAAAGATCCTCGAAGAGATGGGCGAGCTCGGTCTTTTGGGTGCCACAATCGAAGGGTACGGTTGCGCAGGCGTGTCAACTGTGGCCGGCGGCCTAATCACACGCGCAGTCGAACGCGTCGACAGCGGATACCGGTCAGGCATGTCTGTCCAGTCGTCACTAGTCATGGGAGGCATCAACGAATTTGGAAGTCATGAGCAAAAAGAGAAGTTCTTGCCTCAGATGGCGAAAGGAAAATCATTGGGCGCTTTCGGCTTGACGGAGCCCAACCACGGCAGTGATCCCGGATCCATGGAGACTGTTGCGAGACCACATCCATCTAAGAATGGATATTATTCTTTATCGGGCGCCAAGACGTGGATTACGAACTCTCCCGTTGCTGACGTGCTCTTGGTATGGGCCAAGCTGCAGGAGACAGGGAAAATCCGAGGGTTTCTGGTTGAGAGATCCAAGTGCCCAGCCGGCACTCTGGAAACGCCACCTATAAAGGACAAGAACGGGCTCCGAGCTTCGATCACAGGCATGATTCAACTTGAAGAGTGTCCGGTTCCTCACGAGAATATGTTTCCAGAAGTTGAAGGTCTCCGAGGGCCATTCTCGTGCCTCAATAGTGCCCGATACGGCATTGCCCTAGGCGTTATGGGCGCTTTGGAAGACTGCATCGCGAGAGCAAGGACGTATGCGCTCGAGAGGAAGCAGTTCAAGGGGAATCCGCTCGCTCGCTATCAACTCGTCCAGAAGAAGCTGGCTGACGCCAGTACTGACGCTGCTTATGGCACGCTGGCGGCCATTCAAGTCGGCAGGCTTAAGGACGAGGGCAAGGCCACGCCTGACATGATTAGCATGGTGAAGCGCCAGAACTGCGACCGGGCCCTTCAGAATGCTCGAGTGCTTCAAGAGATCTTCGGAGGCAACGCCGTTAGCGACGAGTATGCTATCGGCCGACATGTGGCGAATTTGTTCGTAACACAGACCTACGAGGGCCAGAGCGATATACACAGTAAGTGATCGGCAAATGCTCGGCCTGTGCCTTGCAACTATGCTACGTATGCTGACGTTAACTTTGCTAGGCTTGATCCTGGGGCGGGCCATTACGGGGGTGCAGGCGTTTGTATAAGTCGGAAGTGTTTATTGAGGTCTGTAGGGGACTCCTTCTGTTGCCTCAGTAAGCGATGGAGGCAATGAACAGAAGGTTTACCTCGAGCCCCAATATCAGGTGCATGGCGCGAAAAAGGTATAAGGAGCCACATGTGACGTGAAAGGGAGCACAACAAGATCAGGTACATCCTTGGAGTGCCCGACCGAACCCGACTTGGCGCGAGCGTTGGGCAGTGAGGTCTCGCATCGAACCTTGTTGTGCTGAGGCCTCAAACCTGAAAATTGACTGCGATCCTGGGGCTGCCTAGTTACAAATCTTATGTTGGGCAGCTTCATGAAAAAAAAAATGTACTCCAGATTCCGACGAAAAGACAGCGAAGACCATGCGGGAACACGAAGGCGTTGTTGAAAGCGATACAACTGAGAAGAAGGCTTGAGAAACAAGTGGCTTAGCTAGGATTCATCAGCCATAAAACATTACCAACACGACTATGAAAATTGGGAAGGATCAGTTAAGACGTGTGACTCACGTGACGAAATCTTCCCATCCATGTGGCGGTGCCCCTCATTTCTATGGACACCCAGGCCGGCCATCCCGGTCCCTTCCTAAAATCCTGACAGCAAGAGGACGATCTGGGTTCCTCCAGTGCTGGGGCAGTGGCTTGGGAGTGGTGACAGGCAAGAGTCAGGTGCGGGTGCAGTTGCCCCTCCCTCACTCACTGCCCGCTGAGAGGCTGGCTGACTGCCTTGCTTGCCATCCGTCACCTTCCCTCTTCTTCCCCCTCCACCACACATCCAACACTTCCACTCCTCCAACAGTCACGTTCTGCTGTCCTGTCTTGCATCACGCCCACGTCTCGTCCCTTCGAGCAACGCTTTAGTAATCCTGTTACTGGATCACAACATCATTCTTGCGACGACGCAGAAGACGATAAATACCCCTCGTCTCCTGTACGTGCCCTGCTTACGGCCCTCGACCCCCCCGCACCCGCCCTTTGTCCCGCACCACTGCACCGCACATCGCCTTGACCTATTCGTCCACTTCTGCTGGTGTGACCGATCGCTGACCCGTTACCTACCTCCACCACAGTCGCGCAACCGAGAAAGAACTTCTTCTTTAGATACCCCCAACCGCAAATACCATCACCATGGCCCTCAAGCGCATTAACAAGGAACTCACTGATCTCGGCCGGTATGTCCAGTCCTTTCGCACTCTTCGACTTCCACTGCCGCACTCTCTCCAAGACATTATCTGGTGGGGCGTGCTTGAAGCGGGGTCTACCGTCGGACGAGAGAGGCTGCATATTCGTCCATTGCCTCAACCTGCGAAGCCAAGGTCGCAGAAACTTGGAGACAAATGGCTAATTGAATTCTTGTTGCAGCGACCCGCCCTCCTCATGCTCTGCCGGTCCCGTCGGCGAGGATTTGGTATGTGACGTCTCACCGGACCCCAAAAGATCTTGCCGAACCTGTCCTCCTGTTGATTCGGCTCTCGAATTTTATTCTGTGTCTTTGGTGTAGTACGAGGCATCTGTACTGACTATACTGCTCTCTAGTTCCACTGGCAGGCGACGATTATGGGACCTGTATGTTCATCTTCCATCCTTCTTATCTTCGACAGCGAACGCTTCTTGGACAATTGTTGACTTTTGCAATCTAGGGTGACTCTCCTTACTCTGGCGGTGTCTTCTTCCTCGCCATTCACTTCCCTACCGACTACCCCTTTAAGCCTCCTAAGGTCAACTTCACCACCCGCATCTACCACCCTAACATCAACTCCAACGGCAGCATTTGCCTCGACATCCTGCGAGACCAGTGGAGCCCTGCGCTCACCATCTCCAAAGGTGGGTAGCCTTACCTTCCGCTTCCTGCGCATTTCTAACAAGTCCAGTGTTGCTGTCTATCTGTTCGATGCTGACGGATCCCAACCCCGACGACCCTCTCGTCCCTGAAATCGCCCACGTCTACAAGACTGACCGTGCCCGGTACGAAGCCACTGCCCGCGAGTGGACTCGAAAGTACGCCATCTAGGCTTCGGCTTGGAGACGTTCTTTGGCGTGAGATTGGGGATTGCTGTAGAAGGCGATGTGGCGGGTACTTAGGCTACCTCTCATCGACGACTTTGGAGTCCTGGGCAAGACAGCCACCCTGCCTTGCGGACTGGACAGTTGCGGTGCTTATGCGCACGTAGGCACTTCGTCCAGCTTGAGAGAGGCAAGTCGAGCATCAGGCACTGCGGAGAAGAGAGCGAGTTTTACGAATGAGAGACGCTGGAGTTAGAGAGGTCCATTGGGCACACCAGATAGCTGCTTCGGCTTATGACAACGGCATTGCATTCCCAGACTGCGAATTTGACAAGATCCGGTTGATTCGTAACTGACATGCAGTGAAGTTCATTGGGCGCTACAAACGTCGGGTAATATTGACGAGAGCGTTCTAGGTGTTCTATACTACTTGCATAATTATGTTCATCATCAATATCGTCGCTGTCGTCATTTACAGCACGGCCCGTTCCACAAATTCGTGCTGTTGTTCAAGAGAAATAGAAGCTTCCGTTCCGTATCGTTTCATCTCCAGGTAACAGGGAAGAAACATGCGACATGCAACCGAGGTAAGGGTGCAAAGACGCGGTCCGTGTTCTGCCTGGCAGGCGTATACAACATCAATTGCCGTTCGGGCCGTTGGCCGGGTTGCCAGAAGACATGGACGGACAAAAAGGCGACAAGTAATAGGGCATAGCATCACGGAAGGTGATAGAAAAACGAAACGACTCCCTCGCATGACATACGTAATCGGGCAGTTGGGTAAGGGGACCGTGAGCCTGGATGTTATCGTACAGCATGAGGCTCTGTTGTGGGGCCGAGAGTTTGGGTGTCGGAATCCGGATGGACTCTACGCGTGTGCTGGTGTTGCTGTCCATGCTTTCTAGATACGGTGCTTCATCTCGGCACACGTGTGCGCGTTGTCGATGGCGGAAGGCTGACCATGGCTGTCGTCGCAGAGGGCTTGGCTGACGAACGTTCGTTCAGAGGTGAAGGATTCATGAGCCGGGGAATTGGGAAAGGGGCGGCACCAGGCTTCAAATATGACCTGATATTTGCGTCCTCCTGTATCAAAAGGCAACAGCGTAAGGGGTGATCGCCTCTAGGATGTGACGCGAGTTTGTAAGATGCTGCAAGTCGAGACGGTGGTGGCTGGCAAGAGGTGACGAGGCGGGGGCCAATCACTAGGGCGTAGATGCTCCGTTGCGAGAGGGCTCAGGCAGTGTTGCCGTCTCACAGAAGCAACAAGAGCCGCAATCAAGGCGTTCATTTGGGGGGGGGGAGGTTGAGAAGCTGCGAGGATCGCCGTGGTGACATGGGATGAGCCTCGATAGCCGCTTACGATACCATGGAGGTTGTCGACAATGGGAGGCAGGGCGGTCCACGGGATGCGACAGATGTCGATTCGCGTCGTGTCAGAGACCCTGGGCCCGAAACATGCCGTGACAGGACGTCCTCGCACGAGCCTCAAAGGCTGGGACTGGTTGGGCACACAGGCGAGACGCCGGCAAAGGAGCCAATCACTGACACCGGATTTTAAGAAAGTCCCCGAACACACACTGGGACTTCTATTGTAGCCCGGGGACCAAGGTGTGCCTTTGTAAGGCACACAACAGGGGCGATGGACAGCGTGCGTCAAGAAGCTGACCCTCTTGGGCCAGCAGCTACCTGACTTGTCGGGGTTTTCCTGCTCATGCGAGTTCCGGGCAATAATGGCGATTGCTTGGCCGCCAATTCTGACTGGCGACTGTGAGGTACGAGCCATCAGAGAAAGAAAATGCCCCGCCTCGCAGCACGCTCCAGCGCTGAGGCCCCTGAGGAAGCCCCCCCCGGCTGCATGGTCGCGGGTACACCAGGCCTCTTTAGGACTAACCTTGTTTCGACCTCGACGCCATCGCTCTCCCCATCCACCAATGCTCCAGTTGTCGCGGCATCACACAACGGTGAAAGCGAGTGCTGGGAACAAGCAACTGACGGCAAGGCAGCCAGCAACCACTTCGCTGGGTACCAGATCTGCGACACCGTCCCGTCTTCCTCTCTAGGGGCTTCTCCGGCAATTGTTCCTCTTCCTCGAAGTCTGCGTTCGCCCCTCGCACTCTCTCCACCACACCCCTGACCCTTACCTGTCTTCATCCGTGTCGTCTAAGCAAGGTATCCACGCCGGGACAATACCTTGTCAGGGCCAGATTCTGGGCGCGCGATGGTCTGCTGGTCGTACCATAATCGCTTGTCGTCGCTGTAACATGAACAACCCATAAGCTCCCTCCTTCTTCATCCTGCCCCCTCCCGCCGCGATCTTCGCGACCGCTTCTGTTGCTCGCTTTTGCGTTTTCTTTCTCTTGCTCTCCTTCTTAGGCAATCGACGAGAGATTTTCCCTCCCGCGGGACTTTAATACCCACGAGCCTCGGTCGCAAACCCCCTTATTCTGTCAGCCGCCTGGTGCAGGCATTGTGCAAAGGTATGATCTCCATCCGAAACACACCCTCCGCGAGCCTGTTGCCTCGTCTCGCCACCTTTAGCAGTATTCATTGCCCATGCCCTTCCGTGTCTTCTTGCCCTCTTGTCTCCTCTTGCTGACCTACGGCTTGCCCTCTGTTACAGCCCCCTTCGATCTCTCGCCGTCCGCTGCGGCAACTTAGGCGCAAGCACGGGCTACGTCCAATTCGATTCATTTACCTTCATTGTATATCTCTTTTACGACTGTTCAGCCGGCTCTGAATCGACTATTACATCACCCATTTGGATATATGGCGCCGCCTGCACTCTCGCTTGTCTAAACACCAACTGAACAACGACACCGACCGGTTCGCAAACGGACATATACGGGCAGAACCTCGCAATAATAGAAGCAAGAGACAGGGGAAAGAGAGCTGACGGGGGAAACTGCATACAACGGGACATCCGTTCTGAGCGACATTGTCCTTGAGGGACGGTCATACCAGCTATATCCCGACTCGTCAGCACGCAGACGATTATAGCACTACCAGCACGATGGACTACTACTCGATGGGCTCAGAGAAGCCCTCGGAGCGTTCAAGATGGACGCCACTGACACGCATGCTGCTCTCGGGAGAGATGACGCAGGAAAAGCAGAAGCAGCTGACATCGAGGGAGAAATTCGATCGCTGGATGATCAACGAGGGTTACCGAAGATTGTGAGTACTGTCTACATGCGCACTTGATCCATGTGAAGTGCTGGAGCCTTGGTACCCAAAAAGCATCAGTTAACAGTTGCCCAAGTTTTGTCTTCGTCTTCATGATCCTCCACGGACTCGTCTTTGCGCTTGCCTGCGTCAACTTTGCCCTCAAGGACAATCTGCAGGTTGCACGAGACATATTCGGTCCAACTTTTGTCATCGCCCGTGCCGCGGCTCTCGTCCTACACGTCGATGTTGCCCTCGTACTCTTTCCTGTCTGTCGCACATTCATCTCGCTCGCTCGCCAAACGCCTCTCAATGGCATTATCCAGTTCGATAAGAACATCACCTTCCACAAGACGATTGCCTGGTCCATTGTCTTTTTCTCATGGGTTCATACGATTGCTCACTGGGTCAACTTTGGCATGATCGCCGCCAAGAACAACCTTGGCGTCTATGGCTGGCTGCTGGCCAACTTCGTCTCCGGTCCCGGTTGGACTGGTTACGTTATGCTCATCGCCCTCATGGGCATGGTTATCACGTCAATGGAGAAGCCCCGACGCGCCAACTACGAGAGGTTCTGGTACACCCACCACATGTTTATCGTTTTCTTCTTTTTCTGGTCAATTCACGGCGCATTCTGCATGATCCAGCCCGATTTTGCGCCCTTCTGCATCAGTATCGGCCCGAGCGCGATCGGCGTCTTCTGGCAGTACTGGATGTACGGCGGTTTCTGCTACCTTGCTGAGCGCATCGCCCGTGAGGTGCGTGGCAAGCATAAGACATACATCTCCAAAGTCATTCAGCACCCCAGCAATGTCTGCGAGATTCAGATTAAGAAAGAAAACACCAAGACCCAGGCCGGCCAGTACATCTTCTTCTGCTGCCCCGCCGTATCGATTTGGCAGTACCACCCCTTTACCCTAACGAGTGCGCCTGAGGAAGATTACATCTCTATCCACATGCGCGTAGTTGGTGATTTCACTCGTGCTGTCTCTACCGTATTGGGCTGCGAGTTCGACAAGAAGAAGGACGGTAGCAAGGTCGTCGGTGTCAATGGCGATGGAAGCGATGTCGATCCTGCTTTGCGCCGCGTGCTGCCTCGCGTTTACATCGACGGACCCTTTGGATCGGCTTCGGAGGATGTTTTCAAGTACGAGATTTCTGTTCTCTGCGGCGCAGGAATCGGCGTCACGCCGTTTGCATCCATTCTCAAGTCCATCTGGTATCGCATGAACTATCCTCAGAAGAAGACGCGCCTCAGCAAAGTTTACTTCTTCTGGATCTGCAGAGATTTCGGCTCCTTTGAGTGGTTCCGCTCGCTGTTGCTCGCCATTGAAGCGCAGGACGTTGACAACCGCATCGAGATCCATACCTACCTGACCGCCAAGATCAAGGCAGACGACGCAACAAACATCATGATCAATGATGCCAACGCTGACAAAGACACCATCACCGGTCTGAGGTCGCCAACGAACTTTGGACGGCCCAACTGGGACATGATCTTCCGTGGAATCAGAAAGCTGCACTCGCCTGCCGAGGCTGGTGTGTTCTTCTGTGGTCCCAAGGGCCTCGGCAGTACACTGCATATCTTTTGTAACAAGTACAGCGAACCAGGGTAAGCTCGATTTATCTTTCAATGACGTATCGTGTCCTTGCACTGACATCTAAACTGTAGCTTTTCGTTCAAATGGGGCAAGGAGAACTTCTAGAGGGGGCAAGGCGTGGAGCAATTTTATTTCTCTATTCTCATGGTTTTCTTCAGGTTGCATGTCTGATTGTTTGCTGATCAGTATATGGTCTGAGACTTGTTAGCCATGGGAATGAGCCTCTCGCTGTGGCTCTTATTTTGTTAGACGCGGGCGAACTCTACCTAGCCTGGACGGGTACGCGAGGGTTGGAAGAGGATTTTCTCAAAGAGAACTCGATACATGGTCGGTTGATGTTAATAGGATTTATCACGCCATATGGCGCATCATGATTAGGATATACAAATATACATTACTTCTTCATTGTTTTCATCACTGCTCAAATGGTCTTGACCATTCACCGCGTCTGACCTGGAACGGAAATTGGTGCGCGAGCGATTAGAGCACTTCAAGGACAATCCAGCAGAGCTCCTCAATGAAGTTAGTCTATTTTTTTCCCCAAGCCTATGTAAGTCCCCTGACGGAAGCTATCTCAAGCCTCAAGAAATAAGGCTAAGCAAGGTTTGCCAGCCAGTCTACCTACAGCTGATACTATCTCAGACCAGTCGCTCCCAAAGTTTCTGCCTCACCCTGTCTTACCAGGTACTTGAGAGCTGCGATCTCTCGATGAAGCCCCCAATATGGCAGAACGTTATCTATATCATTTTGGAAAAGAAATGGTATTGTTGTACAGTCCTCATCAGATATCCCGCCATGAAGCCTATGCTCACGCTGTTGCGCTGGGCTAGAGGGCGCTGGGTAAATTCGCGCCACTTTTGGCACTATCGCCGCGGCAGATGATGACAGTGGACCAGTCGGAGTGGTGTGGGGATGCGAAACTCTTGCAGTACAACTTGGTGTGCTCCCTGTAGAGTTTTGAAGCTGTCTGCGAGTATCACAAGCTTGCTTTCGAGGTTTCTTATGGATGCGAGTAGAAGTGGATGATGCCGGAGGCGACATCAAAATCGTGTTGCCCTGTGTGGAGCGTCTCGACGAACGACGTGTTTGAGCGTGTTCCATAGGTAAGGTGACTTCTGGTGCTGGTGTTTCCGTGGGCAGAGCAGGTGCTTCCAGTGACGGCGACGATGACGTATCGGGCGATAGGAGAACACAGCTTGGTGCTGGTGTGCGTTGACTCGAGCGGCGACGTAGGGATGGCTGGCGCGTGGCTTGTTCGAGGGGTTGACTGGCCGTCTGCCTTTGTACACTCTTGCATTGAGGAGCTGGCGCTCTCTTTGTGGTTTCAGTTTTTCTCGATCTCTTCCGAGAAGTGGTATTGAGGACTGAGGCACAACCTTCGTCGTGTGTTCTCTGCGACGGAGTTTTTGTTGTGGAGTTATCGGTACCCCGTGTCTTCGAAGCAGCAGGACCAGAGACAGTCCCCCTACGAGCAGTTGACGTTGGCGGGCCGCTTGTAGACTGGGCTTCACTCCGAGAATCAGCCATCAAGCCCGAGTCTTCGGGCTCCGGTATCACCACAAATTTTTGCACCGTGTCAAACTGATGCAGCATGAGGAGGTCTGCGTCCGTAATATCGCTGTCCACAAACCCAGCATCCGTGAATACGCTGCGTCTTGATTCTGGATTCGAAGCGTTCAAAGACTCGCTCATCGTCTCGTGCTCCTGACGCAAGACAGCTGAGTCGTCCTCCATTAAGCAAATTGGGTTTTCGCGACTACCCTCTTCAGTTATTGGTGGATGCACTGACGTTTCGCGGCCACGCCCTCCGGTTGTATGCGCAGAGCCACTAGCCACCATGACGACCCGAAGGGCACCACGCCTACCCTTTTTGACCCGGAAAGGTTCAAGCTGTAAATCTGCGCGATTCTTACATCGCTCGAGCAACCTCTGGAGCATATTGTGACGCATATCCGGACACGTCGTAATATGCCTGGTCCTGCCCAGGTGCAGGAGTTGGAAATGCAGCTCAATGACGGCATGCATAGCTTTCTCAACCTTGTTTTGGCTGAGCACCATGTTCGTCAGAATTCTCCGGCGATTCTCATCGAGAATTGCTAGCTTGCGTTTGAGTGGTGACCGCAAGATCTTTGCGACGGGCTTCAGTACCGGGTGTGCCAGATTCCACGCGTCCCAATATTGGAAACCAGCAGCGGTCAAGATGTGGTGGATTCGAATGACTCCGAGAACCATAGTCAAGCAGTTTCGGTCGACGACATGAAACTCTGCAGGCCAATATCGCTGCAGTTGGAGGCGCTGGAGTTCCAGTAACCGCTCCTCATGGGCATCACCTCTGTATCGATCGGACTGCGTCATGCTGAGGCCAGTAGGGTAGACCTCTTGGGGCCGTCGAGTTGTGCCGATGGACTAATGGTGAGATCTGGAAGAGGCGTCTGAAAAGTAACCAAAATTTCGCTGCAAAATCATTCCAATGTACAAGATTTGCTTCACAAACAGGCATCGAAGTCTAGGACACGAAGATGAGGGCGGCTGATGGGTGAGAGAGAGGCCCTTTAAAGATGCCTACGTTCCGGGCGATGCGGCGGGTGCCCAGGATACGCGAACACGTCTACGTCGCGGCGCGTCTCGGGCGGGGAGCTTGATCGTGAGCTCCGCCACGGGTTCTCGTGGAGCTCGACTCAAGGGGCCGACTCAAGGGGTGCCTGGGGTTCATGGTGGCCCGTGGGGTTCTCAGAGTGCAGGTTCTGTTTTAATGAAGGTCAGCATAGGCCCGCTTCATTCATAGGAGGTCGTCTCATTGCTGCACTCTTCATTACTTCTAGACCCATCACGAAACCTTCATAGTCTCCGCGGGGCCTCTTCTCCAGAGATGGTGCTACTCCTCTAGGTACCTACCGAAGGCAAGGGAGATTGCTTCCTCAGAAAGCTTCAGTGAGGCCTTTGAATATTCAGGCGTTGTGAGGGCATTCCCGTTGCGGACATCGGCTCCTTACACACAGGTTGCATGAATTCATTGTTTGAGTTCTCTCATAGCACTCTGCACTACCTTAGATAGGTAGACTGCACTGCACTACGACAAAGCAATGTCGTCGGCGGCGAGCCATATTCCAGGGTGTGACATGAAAACTCTATCGCTATACTGGGGTCCTTGCCTCGGGGTCTACCTACCGAGATGGCGAGCTGCAACCGAGACTCCACGTGCAGCGCGAATGGTTGACAGACGGTTCAGGTAGGGGGCAAGGGGGGTAGCAAGCTGGCAGGCAAGTGGCTGTGGGGGTGGCGACTGGGGTGTGGTGGGGTGGTGCACGGATAGCCGAGAGCGTCTGATGGCCTCGACCATGGAATCACCACCATGACCGACACACCACCCTGGCCAAGGCCTGCAAACTCCCACCACTCTTGTCGACAGAACATCCAAGCGAGCTGCACCCATGTCCCCCGCCACCCTCTGTCGTCCTAGCCTGACGCCGACCCGGGCCATTGAGCCGACACAGTGGCCAATCTTGCACAATCCAACGGCCCCCTCACCTTTTGGGCCATTGACTCCGTCAGTTGGCCATGGTCATCTACTTTTCCGTTGCTCATTATGGAGATCTCATCTTCATTCCATCCCCATCTGGCAACGCCAGGCCGGTGACAACAAAGGTGCTTGTTCTTGTTAAGCGAGCATCAAACAGCCACCTCCCCGCGAGACCGCTTTCGATGCTGGCCAAGTTCTCGTTGGATACTTTTTGAATACTTCTCTCTCGAAACCTCGTGTCGCAGTCGTTGCTCTCCGCACATAGAAGAGACTTGACCTCCACTTTTCCTGCTGAATCGTCGTGCCTCCTCTTCGACATCATGGCTGCTCCCGAGGAAGCTCAGGGACAAGTGCCTGATGCTAAGGCCACCGAGCGCCCGACGTCCGACATATTTGACATGGACAAAGTCGAGCGCGCCAGCTCCATTGCGACCACCATGGACCCCATTGCTCACGGCGACCTGAATCGCGACCGCGATCACGGTTACCTCGAGCCAAGCCGGTTCTCCTTGTCTCGCGCCGGCCACATTTCGCTAGACGACGTTGAGGCTGTCGACGTTGAGATTCGAAGCCTTGCTGTCACCGTCGATACATCGCCTTCGTGGTTCGAGCCTTCGACGTATCCTGACCTGGCAAAGCGGAGATTCAAACCTACACCCGAATCCAAGACATTGCTGCACCATGTCGACGCCTCGCTGGCCCATGGCACGCTTACTGCCATCATTGGCGGCAGCGGATCCGGCAAAACAACTCTCCTCAACACCATGGCAGACCGCATGATCAGCTCGCGCTTGTCGCAGGCTGGATCGATCCGCTTCAACGGCAACGATACAGTGCAGAACGTGCGCCACGCCTACGTGATGCAACAGGATATCCTGCTCCCGACCCTAACCGTTCGAGAAACCCTGCAGTACTCTGCCGACTTGCGCCTGCCCCCACCAACCACGGCTGAGGAGCGCACGCGCATTGTTGAGGAGGTCATCTTGGAACTCGGCTTGAAAGAATGCGCAGACACTAGGATTGGCAATCACCAGCATCGTGGCTGTTCTGGTGGAGAGAAACGGAGAGTCAGCATTGGCGTTCAGCTTCTGGCCAATCCTTCAGTCTTGTTCTTGGACGAGCCCACGACAGGCTTGGATGCCACCAGTGCGTTCCAGCTCGTCAGGACTCTCAAGAGCTTGGCGACCAAAGGGAGGACTATCATCACGACCATTCATCAACCGCGCTCAGAGATTTGGGATCTGTTTGACAATCTCATCATTCTGACCCGTGGCAGCCCTGTATACTCGGGGCTGGCAAAGGATTGCACCACTTGGTTCGAGGGGCAAGGGTTTCGACTGCCCCCTTTTGTAAACCCTGCCGAGTACTTGATTGACATTGCTGCCATTGACAATCGAACTCCGGAACTTGAGGGAGAGAGTACAGCTCGAGTTGACAGGCTCAAGGCGGCCTGGATGGAACAAAGTCAAACAATTTTCCCACCCACTGAGCAAAGCGCCGTGCAAGCGACAAGCCACAGAGAAAGGAGAGCACAAGCGACGAAACATGCCACGTATGGCCGTCAACTACGCATGTTGACCGACAGGACGTTCAAGGTGACCTATCGAGATCCTATGGGCATGCTGGCAGCCGTTGTCGAAGCGGTGCTGATGGGCCTGGTGACGGGATATATCTTTTACAACCTTCCCCGAGATGATTCCGGTATTCGTTCGCGCCAAGGAGGGCTATACACAGCCGCCGGTCTCCAGGGTTACCTCATCCTCATCTTCGAGATCTATCGTCTGTCTATCGATATGTCTACCTTTGACCGGGAACACACGGAACACTGTGTTGACGCTATTCCGTTTCTCCTCTCTCGACGTTTCGCCCGTTTATTCACCGAAGACTTCCCCGTTCCGTTTCTATTCTCCGTCATATTCTACTTTATGGCTGGTTTCGAGAGAGATGCCAGCCAGTTCCTCATCTTCTTCAGCATCACTCTACTGAATCATTATATCGCCATGACTTGTGCTATGACTTGCGTCACAGCCTGTCGAAACTTCCCTGGCGCAAGCTTGATTGCCAACCTGATATATACTATGCAGAGCATGGCCTGCGGCATGTTTGTTCAAGCTGAAAGTATACCCGTATATGTGCGGTGGATGAAGCACATCACATACACTGTAAGCCTTTGTGTATTCAAATCCTTACCATGCCGTCTGTGTCTGACTTTTCGATTCGATAGTATTATGCTTTCAGCGCATACTGCGGTAACGAGTTTGAAGGGGCCTTCTATGATTGCCCACTACCTGGCGGTCAGTCGGATCCAGCTTGTTACCAATACACAGGCGAGTTCATTATGGAGTCGCTCGGCTTCCCCCAAAACTGGGTATGGCGTCCCATTGTCATCATGACCGCCTTCGTCATTTTCTTCTGTATCCTATCTGCTGTAGGACTTCAGTTCGTTCCCGTTGAGATGACCATCGCGCGAGCAAGAAATTCCGATACCGATTTGTCGGCTGGCAAAGAAAATATGCGTGCGAAGTCGATTTCTGAGGTTCGCACCATTGATGTTGGACTTGACAACTTTGCGCTCGCTCTCGACAAACGCTCTGTGTTTGGTAAGAAGCAACCCACCAAGACAATCCTCAACCCTGTCGATGCGACATTTCAAGCAGGCGTTCTGAATATCATCATGGGTCCTTCGGGCTCAGGAAAGACCTCGCTACTCAATGCCATGGCTTTGCGCCTGCACAACAATATTGGCACACAGTACAGGCCGGCAGGCAAACTAACCTTCAATGGCGCTGTGCCATCCAATGCAGTGATCAGGTCGATATGCTCTTACGTCTGTCAGGATGACGACGCTCTGCTTCCTTCCCTGACTGTGCGCGAAACATTGCGATTCTCGGCCGGCTTGCGTCTCCCCTCCTGGATGACGAAGGAGGAGAAGTTCAAACGCGCCGAAGAGGTGCTTCTCAAAATGGGTTTGAAGGACTGCGCCGACAATCTTGTGGGCAGCGATCTGATCAAAGGCATATCTGGAGGCGAGAAACGTCGAGTCACGATTGCCGTCCAGCTACTCAGCGACCCGCGTGTTCTACTACTGGACGAACCGACGAGCGGCCTCGACGCCTTTACAGCCAATTCAATCATGGAAGTGCTTCAGGGCCTCGCCATGGAAGGTCGCACCCTCATCCTTACGATTCATCAGGCGAGATCAGATCTGTTCAAGCATTTCGGAAACGTCCTCCTTTTGGCTCGAGGCGGCTCACCTGCGTACGCTGGATCGGCCAAGGAGATGCTGCCGTATTTCAACCGTCAGGGATTCGAATGCCCTTCACACACCAACCCCGCGGATTTTGCTCTCGACTTGATCACCATTGACCTACAACAAGCAGATCGAGAGGCAGACAGCCGGGAGAAAGTTAGGCGCTTGGTTGAGGCGTGGCAAGAGCACCTCAGAACACCAGTGGACACGGAAAAATTCGAAGCGCATGCTACTCGTTTACCTGGCATCGAGGAGAAAGCGGAAGATGACGCCGAGAATATAGCGTCGAGGACCTCGTCCTCGGAAAAGACGCGCTCTCACGAGAACGCGAAGGAGGATGAGCTCCGCATCTCATCTGCTTCAAAGCCTGGACATGAAGCGCACCATCGACCTGCTGTCCCCCCCCCTCGTCAGTCCTTCAACAAAGCCACCCTGGCCACGCCGGCTGAGCTGGGTGCTCTCGTTCGTAAGCGGGCATCGTTCGCAGCAGCAGCTCCACTGCTCATGCACCGGGCGTTCATCAACTTCCGCCGGCAACCACCGCTGCTGTTGGCTCGCACCATGCAAGTCGTTGGCTTAGGCCTTGTGTTATCACTCTTCTTTGCGCCTCTCAAGCACGACCTCATATCTGTGCAGAATCGCATGGGGTTCGTCCAGCAGGTCGGCGCCTTCTACTTTGTTGGCATGCTGCAGAATGTAGCGGTCTATCCAGCCGAGCGTGACGTCTATTATCGCGAAGACGATGACGGCGTCTACGGGGTTGAGGCCTTCCTAGCCAGCTACACCTTTCTTGAGATCCCGTTTGAGGTTATCAGCAGTCTTCTCTTTGGCGTCCTTGCAGTACTGGCCGTTGGCTTTCCTCGCACTGCAGAGATGTACTTTGTAAGTGTGTTCTGCTGCTTCGCCATTGTGAGCTGTGGCGAGAGCTTGGGTATTATCTTCAACACACTGTTCAGTCATACCGGCTTCGCAGTCAATCTGACGAGCGTCTTCCTCTCTGTTGCCCAGACCATGGCTGGCGTCTTGTCCATCGACATGCCCGAGTTCCTGAAGGCTCTCAACTACTTGAGTCCTATCCGGTACGCCACAAGGGCCTTGGCGCCGTTCAGCCTGGAAGGCGTGAAATTCACATGCACTGGCGGGCAGCAACTCCCTGATGGGTCATGCCCGATTGAAACAGGCGAAGATGTGTTGAAATTGTACAGGCTGAATGTGGACGGAGTGATCAATGTTGCTGCGCTGGCTGCATGCGTGGTAGCCTATCGCCTTCTGGCATGGATCATCCTCAGGCTGGCAAGAAATCGAATGGAAGGGTTGCGGCAGAAGAAGAGAGATGCGGCGAGATAAGGTGAATCTGAACGATGATGGGCAAAGTTACGATATACTGTGTCCATGTTCAGCGGACATATACAAACACCTAACATGTGGAAGATATCCATGCGGTACCCCGGATTTGAGATGGGTGAGACACCAAGGCGGGTTGAGGCGCAGTAGACGCTTTCGTCACAGCAGCTCCTTATCGGCGTTGTAGTCCGACCAGCTGAACGACTCTAGGTTTTGGCTACCGTTTGCGGTCATCGCCTCGTACAATGGGGAGAACGTGGCTTAACCTAACTTTAGTTTCCATTGGGAAATCGCCTATATAGTAGCGACGCCTTTTGCGTGAAGCGTGTATCTTCTTGATCCCTACACACGTCAATTGAGACTGTCATCATCAAGTCTGATTTGCAGCCTTTGGTATGGATCAAAAGCAACCTTTAACCCACTCGGCATCACCGCCATCGTCGACATCTGCAGGCCGTCATAGAAGCGGGAAGGCCTCACTCTGGTGGGCGGTCATACCTGCCGCGCTCTTGCTAGCATGGCTGAATGCCTCCTCCTTGCCCTTTGCGGATTTCTTGCCGTCAATGTCGAATGCGGCTTTGACGACATCAAGAGAACAATGTCCTCAATCGGCGCCTATCAGGCCGCTTCTATCAACGTCCAATTTGGTCGATATGGAGTCGCATATTGCATCTCACGCCTTTCGCGACGCCACGGTTGCCCGGCTTGCTGGGGCGATCAAGATCCGCACCGAGACCTTTGACAATATGGGCGCCCTCGGCGAAGATTCCCGCTGGCTGGTTTTCGGCGACTTCGAAAAGTATCTTCGCCGGACATTCCCTCTGGCGCATAAGGTTCTTTCCCTTGAGCACGTCAACACGCATGGTCTCTTGTATACATGGAGAGGCACAGAACCAGCCCTCAAACCGACCGTTCTCATGGCTCATCAAGACGTCGTACCGGTTCCGAACGCGACAATCGGCCAGTGGCAGCAACCGCCATTCAGCGGCGCCTTTGACGGCACCTACATATGGGGCCGAGGTACAGTTGACTGCAAGAACACTCTCATCGGCATCCTTGAGTCGGTCGAGCTCCTCATTGAAGCCGGCTTTCGTCCACGCCGCACTGCCGTCCTATCGTTCGGGTTCGACGAGGAGGTTTCAGGTCCTCAGGGCGCAGCGCACCTCGCGCCATTTCTCGTCGACCGCTACGGCAAACACGGGGCTGCGCTGATCCTCGATGAGGGCGCGGGCATCATTCCCACCTGGGGTAAGCTGTTCGCCTTGCCGGGCGTCTCGGAGAAGGGCTACATGGACGTGGAGATCATTGTTCGCGCCCCGGGAGGTCACAGCTCCATGCCACCTGCGCATACCAGTGTCGGCATTGCTGCTGAGCTGGTCTCCGCCATAGAAGGCGAACCGTATTCGCCTACATTTCATGACGAGAATCCCTTTTTGGACTTTCTGCGATGTGGTGCCGCACACGCCGCGAAGTTCCCTACGCCCGTGAGGATGCTGCTGCCAAGAAGAGGCGGGAATGCAATTCTGCTGGGGCTTCGCAAGAGCCTGTTGGCCAAACTGGTTGCCAGGGGCGGTGAGCTGATCCGGAGCTTGTTCACGACGACACAAGCGGTGGATGTTGTGCACGGCGGCGTCAAGGTCAATGCTCTTCCTGAGCGAATGGGCATCAAGATCAACCATAGGATCAATATTGGCGAGACCTCTGATACGATCAAGGCAAAACTTTCAAGGCTGGCGGGACACGTTGCTAGCAAGCATGGCCTTACTCTGCACGCTTTTGCTGACGAGGCCGAGTCGCCTTCATCTATTACACTGCGCGTTGAGGGGGTCATTCTTGAACCAGCTCCCGTCACACCCACTGACCTTGAGGAGGGTGGAAGATCAACGCCATGGGCCATCTTGTCGGGTACGACAAAAGCCCTGTACGGAGACCATGTGATCGTCGCGCCTGGCCTCATGCCAGCCAATACGGACACCAAGTTCTACTGGGATCTCAGCCGGAGTATCTTCCGTCACTTCCCAGGTTGGGATCCTGAGTACGATACGCTTGATGGAATTCATACCGTCAACGAGAAGATCAGCGTATCGGGCCACATCAAGACTGTGCAGTGGTATAGCCTGTTTTTGAGGAACATGGATGAAGCTGACATGGACTGAACTTGGTGTCTCTGCAAAAATGTACAATGGAGTACTCGGCAGGTTAACATGAGGTCGGTGTACTAGTTCATCTTGCATCATCACGTTACGCCGACATCTTGGCATCATCATCAAATCTCACACACTTTTCTTGTCGTTCAAGCGTAACGTCCCATGCTCACGACCGGAATCGTCCTGGCGATGAACCGAGTAATGACTCACTTTGCATGGGACGCGATGAATGACCCGTGGAGTCAGCACATGTGCCCGGCGTACACCCCGACAGTACGTCTTCAAATGAGCTTCGGTGTGGGCAACGCTTGGCAGGTTTTAACTGTCGAAATCCCACATGGGTCATATGCAAGCCGGATCTGAGATCTGGTGAGTGGCACAGGGATACTGCCACGGAGCAAGCTCCGTTCGATGCGTGGTGGCCTAAAGGTCGGTGTCATTTGTCGACGACCACTGCCAACTTGGTCACAGACGGGTGGTGTGGTAGCCAACAAGGCAAGGTGATGCTGACGCGGACCTTGCAAGCGAGTATGTGGCAAGGCTCCAGGCACTGCTCAAACCATGTCGGCACCCTGAGACTGTGGGCGTTGTACCGGTACATGTCCAGCCAGATCTTGCAGGAATGGCAAGATGTTGACCCGATGCGCCATCGATCAGGTTGCTTCAAGGGTCCAAGAGCCCAGGGGCCTGGCTCTGTGCATCCACTCGAAAATGGCTTGTTTCGCAACATGCCCTCCTTCGAGACGTGATCTTGGAACTCCACGTAGAAAACGTCTGCAAATACGGCATATTGGTGGGCGATTGGTTATTAAAGGAAGTCGTGTGTCGTCAGTCCGGCGTAATTGTCCGCAATCAGCTGAGTCGTGCTTAACCCCTGTCCTCTGAGCCGATATGATAATCCTGGTTACACGCACTGCGAGCCTTCGCATTTTGCCCGAGGCCGGCCTTCGGGCCGTGTGTCGTTGATTCCAAGCATCAGGAGACGCTGTGCCCACGACCCCTACTTCACATGGGGCGTCTACTTACGACGTTGCACTTCCTGGTGTTGCGTTATGAACGAGATTCGATGCGACGATGCAATCATGGACATCCAGGGTCAGCAGCTACTATCTGGCGGTGCTTCGATGTATCCTACTTGCTATGTTTCCCTTGTAATTGATGCAAAGGTCATGATGCTCACATTTCAGTAAGGCTCCCATGGCTCAAAGGCTTTCATGTTGCTGCCAGCGCATAAAGGGTAGAGATACCATCACAACCTCATGTGGCAATACATCACCCTGCTTACTTGCGATATTTGAGATACTCGGCGTTGGAATTGCAGTGACGACTTCTACACATGTGCCGACCGTACAAAGTCACGCTCGATTGATTGTGAATTTGCCAAAGGTCGCTCTGCCTCACCTCTGGTCAGGGGTGTATTAGCGGGGCTAGATTGGCGACTCTGATGAGATTGTTCAAGATTGCGCACAAATCCCTGCCCTGACTCGCTCGCCAGCAGGAATGCCAACAGCCCGCTGGCGCTTGCTGCACCTAAGCGGTCAGCGACCAGGGCACCTCCCAGCACCAACAAATTTCTCCAGGGATCCCACATCCCTTTGCGTTGACGTTTGCCCAATGAATTGCGAAGAGCTGTGATGGATGGCACACGCAGCGGGATTCGCTGTGGACTGGCATTTTGTACACCGCTGCAGCCTGGTCGATCATCTGGTTCGGAGCCAAGTCCTCGGGGCGCAACACCATGGTCCTCAACGGTCCAGAGTGAATGCATCCATCGAGTCATCAAGCAGAACGGCGTCGAAACGGTGTGTTTTCCGAGCTGATGACTATGTATGCACGTTTATTTATGTCCGCTGTACGCCAACTTTGACCGCTACAACATCTGGTTTGCCGTATTTCAGCAAACCCGAACGACCGAAAACCACCAAGTACTCAGCGAATTGCCTGGTCAAATATAGTTTGACAGACGATCCGATCGGTGCTCCTCGAGGGTTTGAACGTACGACGCCTAGGCCGATCTTGCAGTACCGTAGGATGCCTAAGGGAGTGCATCAACTGTGCCTTTCCGCTTCTTCTGGCCCACATCCTGTGCAGCGGTGGCTACATATCGAGGGGTGACCCCGGAATATAAGGCTGCCATACCTGCAGCGGTCTGATGTTTATGTTGTCTAGCACGCGACTTGGGATGCAGTCATGAAAAAACTGAAAGAAGGTCGTGAAACCATCTTCAGTGGCGGATAGAGGACAAACCATGGAGCTTTCACCCCTCACGCTCCGTTCCAGGAGTTTCGTTCTCGAGATGATTGGAGAAGCCGTTTGCGCTGGTAACGGGCAGTGTCAAGTCGGCATTGAAGCTACAGTAAAACCCTAGGCGACAGAGGATAACCAGTATAATACGACTGGCGGTGAGACGCATGATTTAGCAGGCGGTCATTGTGTTGAACTACTGACCATGGCTTTCATCGGGCTCGGGTCGTTGCGCAAGCTCCTCAGTCGGAGTTCCCCGAGGCGGGGAAGATGATAGGCACTTGTTGCTCCAGTGTGATGCGTGTTCTTCTTCATCTTCCCTCATATGGGGGCCGACATGGAATAACTCGATTTCTGACCGTTAGAAACAATGTTCGATTTCGGCTATGGGTAGGTGCAGAACCAGCATCCTCAAAAGTGCATCTTTGCAGACGTGGCAAGTAGCCTCGCCATGAACCTGGCGATGTCGGGCAGCCAACAAAGCATCTGCATGACGGGATCAACCCAGGACGCTAGGACTAACAGTAATACCAGGCGGCCAGGCTTGAGGGACGTTGGTGGTAGTGGCTGGCGAAGATCACCCGACGCCGACGGGAGCGATCTCATTACGCATTGATTGAGAGGGTGTACGTGAGTGGTGGGGCGTCGAGACGGGCGAAGACGGGACGCACCGTCTCGCGAGTCAAAAGAGAGGGTGAAGTGTGTCCGTGGTTGAAGTCGTTTTGGACAGACCGCGTGATGCCAGTTATGGCGTAGCGGCAGGGCTAAGGGCGACGGCGCCATAGGTGGCTTGCCCGCTCTGACCATGATCGTCGACCTGAGTGAGCAACAGGTACTATCAACTCAGTTGTATAGAGGCGGTCGGGACTACAGGAGATGGAGGCCTGGATCAAGAGCGGTCTGGAAAATGACAAGACAGTCCCGAGGGCATCTCACTCTAGTCCGAGCCTTGACATACATGTAACAAGCGGCAATTCGAAAGGGTCAAGCGACTGGACCTTTGACAGGGCTACTTAGGTGTATCACCTGTTGCTCGTTAGAGCGCGCAAGGCACCGATGACGCGTCGGAAGAGCACAAACCCGGGCTGCGCGTTATGACTGGGGGGGGGGGGGAGGGGACTTACAACAAGGGCTCCAAAAAGCGGCGATCTGGCCAAGAGAGGGAAGTGCGTGGAGGTCAGCAAGGCGCGTGCGCTCAACGAATGGCGGAAAGGAGTATTGCAGCTGCGAGACAGAGACAGGGCCACAAGGCACACAAAAGGCACAGGCGAATGAGGCGGCCCAGACCGGTCGAAAGGCGTCTGGGGTTGATTTGTGCCCCCCAAGAAATTGAAGCCATCGTGGGATTTCGCGGGCGGACAAGGCGGGGTAAGAGAAGGCGAGGACTTGGCTGGCGGCAAAGGTAACGAGTAGAATGTCCCGCGGGAGGGATCGACTTCCAAACGAGCACCATGCCCTTGTCGCTCATTGTGCCGTATGTTGTGTTTTGTGGTGTTGAGCTGCGCCGGCTTTTCACATTCCGCTAGTGTTCCGCATATACCCAGCCGACCATATGGATCTTCCGCGATGGAACTCGACAAGACGACGATGACGAGAAGACGCCATAATCGATTCCAGACTAGTGTTGAGAATGAGAGAGTTGAATGACGAAGACGAATTGTTCTGGGGGAAACTTGATGTTGAGCAATGTTTCTTGCCCCCCTCAATTAGTGCATTCAACCTCCCCTAAAATAGGTACTTCCCTACCACCTAGTCTTTTAAGGTTTCTAGGAACCGAAGGCAAGCCCCCCCCCCCCCCCCCCCCCCCTTCCCCCGCCTCAGGGCAACTTGGGCAAGAGGCAAGAGGCAAGAAATGAGGCAAGAAATACATTCCTCCTTCCACCTCGGAGCCCGCACAGGCCATATGAGATACTGCACAGTCACTACCTACCTTGCTACCTGCCAGGGTCCTTACAGATGCTCACTTGGCCCCCGCTCCCACTCGAGAGGCAACTCAACCATATGATGACCCCTGTTGCATTGGACTTGGGATTTGACAGGACTACTCTCAGCTGCCGACCCAAGCCAAGGACGTGGGAAGAGCATTGATTCGGGCGCTCAAAAAGCCGCCGAACGTGCTTGCGATGGCGCTTGAGTTTGCGACAATGTCCTCACTACCACAGGCATGCGTCGTTGACGCGATGGTCGCTGGTCGATTGACGATTGCCGATCATCATCAGCCTCTGAGGGACATGAGAGACAAGTCTTGAAACCCGCATTCCTTCTTCAACGGAAATACTGCGCGACCCCCTCAAAGGTGTCGGCTGTCGGGGTGCATGGTGCTCTACGAGCAGCCTCACGGGTCCCGTTATCGTCGTCCAACCACGAGGAAAGCGGAAACTTGCCTTCGTGCAGCCCAGCGGGAGATGCTGGGCCAGAAACAACGTACATAGTACCGAATCCCGACACAGGTGTCCCCCCACACTCTGCTCCGCATCTCAAACACTACCATGCACGACCAGGGCTCGGCGCCACAGCGAGCGGAGTATTGCGGTCATCAGGAGGACGAAAGAGAGGGAGGGAGGGCGGATCCCAGCAACCAACCTACCACGTACATTGTCTGTCTTTGGACCCTCCTCATCTGCACCAGCCCGGGCACTGCCTGACTGTGACGAAGCCCACCGGCCGTTGACGACGACCGCAGTAGCAGCAGCAGTAACAAGTGTAAGACATCGTCCTGGCCCAGAGCGACGCACTTGTCACCGAGGCAGTCGGCCACCAATACAATTGAACGGGCACGAGAGTGGACCGTGCCTCAGCCCCCAAAGTCCGGAGCAGAGCGAGCCTGTAGCCCACCTGATGATGGAGTGAAGACCCATGTCAAGGAAATGGGAAATTCTACGGCCAGCAAATGAGCAAAGGTCTTGGCGCCGTGGGGTTCTGATAGCTCGGAAGTACCCAGTCACCTTGGTTGTGCCATCCACCCTGTCCTTACAGCTCATCACCCGAGAGGGGTCAGGGGGTAACGGCCCAGAGGTATGAGGGAGCGGGGGTCCAGGTCAATGTCAACCTAGGTAGGTCAAGGTCAAGGCCGGAAATCAGGCCAAGGCCAAGCCTAGCTTGTAGTTTTCCTACCTAGTCAAGGAGCCTCCCTCCAGGTGATCTTCAGACGTTGGCTTGGCTGCTCATCGCCGTCGCCAAAGATGCCACACCAGGGCACCGACCAGCACACCGCATCGAAACACCACCGACGAGCACAACGACTATGTCCGAATCTGGCTGCCAACCAGCCTTCCTCTTACCAAACACATACCGAGCCAGCTGCGTGGGAGGGTTGGGCCCCCCTCCCGCAAAGGAGCCAGTCTCCGCCCACGAAAAAATTGCTTTGCTACCCAGCTCGATGTCCTCTTTTTAGAAACCTTGTCATCAACAGGTGCCGCGAGGCACTCGGCCGGCAGCAAACAACCTTCATTGACCTCCCGAGGCCACCGCCGGCGCCTCGTAAGTCACTCACTCGAAGGACCACACACTTGCTCATAGCAGATCATCTTGGGCATGGCCGATCCTTGCCATGCTCCACGGCTTTGACGGCAGATGTGGACGCCGAGGAAATCACTTGGCTGCTGGTACGACGTGAGTGGTCATCCCACGATGTCTTCACCCACTCGGCCGACGAGTCGCGCGTCGTGGAGCTAAGTAGGTCGCCCACAAGGTTGATCTTGGAGCTCATCACCTCCAAGTGGCTCCGAGTGGAGTGGAAATGCGAGACTCCGCTGACGGCTCTCACGACTAATGATTGCCCAAATCGAACGCTCGGCCGCAGGACGCTGTAAGGCGACGCCAGGCGAAGGGAGCGTAACGCACGATAGTGGCTGTCGCTCGTTGATGAGCATGCATTGTGTTCAGTTCATCCAACCATCCCTGACGCCTTCTCGCTCAAATACCAGCCTAGTCAACTAGTATGCTAGCGCACATGTGCCTGTGCCCGCAATGCACAGTCAATCCTGGCAGACCTTACCAACTATCGGCGCCTTTTGGCTTCGCAAGACAAGAAGGACCCTGGTCCCCGAACACGGTACCATCCATCTGCAAGCGCAGATGTGTCGACGCATCCCGCTCTTCGATCCCTGCTGACCCCATGTCTCTCTACACGTACAGCAGGTAGGGTAACAGTACTTACAATCCACTCCACCACCCTTCCCGCAGCCTCTCCAGTGGTCCTTGTTCCCCAATAAGACTACCCATGACCTCAGCTCCTGCCTTCTGCCCCTCCATCTTTCGCTCCTCACCTTGCAGCGAATAACCGTACTTCCATCTCAGCGGGCCGCTGCGGGCTCGATCGCCAAATATATACCATTTGCCGCCTGTTTCCCCGTTTATCTCTTGCCCGCAACCATCAAGACTCGGCTAGCCAACAGTCTCCTTAGACGTCCCGTCGTCACTACCACAATACTGTTTGCAACCTTGCCCTCGTATTCGTGCCGCCACTCCCCAGACTTGATTCCGGACCGCCTCGTCGAAACGAACTCTGTATATCGAAGTCGAGCAGCGGGTCATATCATCCACCCCTCCCGCACGTTTCGTGGCATGGTTCCGCTACTGACGTGCAATGGACTCTGCATCGGTACCCGTGCAGTCAGATGAAGGCGATGCCTCCTGGTCTGATAATCATAGCATGTATTCGATCGAGAGCATGCATGACGACGCCTGCCAGCCGCAGTCGCCTGCCTCTGACTCCGCTCAATGGAATCTTGTCGAGTCGAACTTGCCTACCGGTCACCTCTCACCCATCAGCACCGGCATGGATACCTCTTCCAACTCAGGTCCCTCTGCTCACGACACCTCACTTGCCATGCCCAAGCTGGAACCTCTGGATGAGGACTTTTGCCTCGACAATGTCACTGAAGCCCCGGCTGCGGACCTGGACCACGGCAACCTTTCCTCTACGAACCCCAAGCAGAAGCGACCTAGAGGCCGGCCGCGCAAACACCCACTCAACTCCGCCATCAACGCGGGCAAGGTCACAAAAGGCCGCTCGAAGACCGGTTGCATTACTTGCCGAAAGCGAAAGAAGAAATGCGACGAAGCGAAACCGCGATGTGAGATTTTGCCTAGGGGAAGATCCTGGAGCTTGGCTCTTGCTAACCTGAACAGGTATGAACTGCGAGAAGAACGCTGTCGTTTGCGAAGGCTACCACGAGAAGAAACTGTGGCGAAGTGGCAAGGATAAGGCATCTGACGGTAAGTTCAAGCCGGAAGACTTGCGTCACACTTCATATACTTAATTCCGGCCCTAGACCACACCGAGGCGTCTGAAGATGCGGTAGTGTTCCACATGCAACCTCTTTTCCACGGCGTTGTCACGGTTGAGGACAGACTGTTTTGGAAGCATTACTATGTGAGCCTGAGCAATGTCCTCACGGTTGAGGGCGAGGCCAAAAATGCATTCAAGGACATTATCCTACCCTTGGCCAACAAACACCAGGGCGTCATGCACTCCGTCCTCGCTATGAGCAGTAAGCATATCGACTACGACACACCATACGGTGCCAAGCTACTTCAGCAGAATCCCGGGACCTCACGCGCTGCCTTGCAGAGCCGAGCAGACTATCACCACCAGGCCGCTATGGACTCGTTTTACGCAGACATACAACGCAGCGCCGATGAAGGCGAGATAGATCAAAAAACTATCCTCTCAGCTCGCTACGCTCAAATACTCTGCCTACTCATCGGTACGCTCATCGAGGGCAATCCGCATGGAGAACACAGAGTTCATCTACGCGGCTATCAACTTCTCATCCAGCAGAACCCACCAGAGGATCCAACATATCTCGCGTTCATCACTGAGTTCTTCCAGTACCACATCTACGCCGACGAACTCGCCAGACATCCAGGCATGAACGGACCACGACTTACGTGCCAGGATTGGACCCCGCTGGCTTCTCCTGAAGCCCCCCGCCTTTTGGGTGTTTCTGATGGGCTGTTTCAACACCTACCTAAGGTTGCTGCAATCAAGGACACCATCCGTCAAAACATTTACAACGGTGCTGAAACTCGGGTGGACTACCATCTCCTGTGGCGTGCACAAGAAATTCAAGAGGCCATCGAGCAGTGGTCGCCATCATGGCCTGCAGGTGATAGCCGGCATAGAGTCGGGCTTGTGTACAAACACATGATGTTTCTGCACTTGTTCAGAACCATCTATCCACCTACAACTTCACAGCAAGTTAGCATGCCACCACTAGCGCCTCCTGCCGCTCCAGTGTCGCCTGCTGCATCTCGTCGTCCGTCACAAGTGTCACGACCTTTGACTGCCTCGAGCTGCTCCTCGTCGCCTGGACTCGGACCGACGACAGCATCTGTGGCTTCCATGGCCTTTCAACAGCGCAGTCCGCCCGGATCCCGCAATCCCTCTAGAACAAACTCCATGCATGAGCTCGATTCATCGGCCGCCTCCGGTTTGTCGGCGTCCAAACAGCGACACCTATCGCCACCCCCCGTCAGGCGTTCACCCCATCATGATCGACGTATCACCGCCGCAGTTGACGAGTCCCTCACAATGATGGAGGGTTTCAAGCCTTTTGACCCGGCGTTGACATTGCTCCTGGTTCCTTGCCAGATTATAGGTGCTGCCTGCTTTGATCACCCACAACAGGAGCGCGTTCGTGGTATCATTCGACAGGTCCGAGGCTACACGGGCTTACGCAATTGTGACCGGACCAGCGAAGTTCTGGAAGAGGTCTGGCGGCTCATGGACGAGGGTGACTGGCTGTCCGCTTGGGATTGGCAAGGTGTTGCGTTGAAGATTGGCGCCGACTTCCTGTGCACATGATTGTCATGATCATTTGCTGTCTTGTCAAACCAAGCGCCTTCCTCGCTGCTGCGAGTCCCCGGGATCCTCGCAATGTTGACGAGGGTCGTCAAATTTGTTTTTTCGGAGCGATTTCATTTCTCTCTTGTTCTTTTCCCTCCTTACTTCTGGGTGGCATTTTTGAATTTTGCTCTGATACTTGCTTAATGGTTTAAGGCACTGTTGTCGGCTGGTCATCAAGCAAGCAGGAACCCGACGGGCATATCATATTGAGGCGGAGTTGGTTTAACTGGATAGGAGGCGGTATCGTCTATTTTCGGCCAGGGATATCCAAGCTCTCGTGAGGAGCAGGCTGCTATGGTGTATTCGACCCGCACGGAACAATTCGGGTATCAGGATTCAAGGTTGGATGGATATCGTGATAGGAATTGCGCGGCTGCTGCGCATGTCATAGTTTGCGAGCGCCCAAGTCGAGTACTCCTTTTCTGAGGAAAGCAATAAAGCTTCCGGGCCCTTGAAAAGGGCAAAGAATTTCGTCATTGATGGATCAATTGTTCGTCGAAATGTTCCATTCGGGTCTTCTTTCAGTCTTTGAAAGACTTGGCCTGGGTCGTGGTCCGTCGTTCGCTCGGATAAGTCTGTAGGCGGGTCCTCAAGAGCGAACATCGAACCTGCGCCTATGCCCCATGACCGACGAAGATGCGGAGCTTTTCGGCAGGCTGAGTCGGCCATTATGTGGTATCTAGTGTCCCGAACCAATCGGCGTTCCTAAAGCGCCTTAAAGACTCCGGTATATTGGACATGTGTGTTGGGTTTCTGATTGACAAGGCGCCGATCTGTCGTTCATTCTGATCCACTTCAAAGCAACCTCCAAGACGTTTCATTCCCAAATCGACCTGCCTACGTCAGATAGAAGGGTAGCGGGGTGGCTGGACAAGTTAGGTTGTTCTTCTTCTTCTTTTCTTTCACTGCGCCATTGTACGCATAGACTCATAGGTTCGGGACGCTGAAGAGCGGTTCAATGGATGTTGGGTGCCATTTACCCACTCTTGCGCGTGTGAGAAGTGAGGAAGCTGCAGGTCTGCGTGCATGTCGGACTTGGCAGGTGGATGGGTGGGCGGAGGGGTAGAAGAGACATCGTCGATCCAGTTCTGACGGACTTGGCATGTGCACCTTTGGGGCGGAGTGAACTGACATGTCTTGAGACTGTGGGGATTTGGCATCGGTGGAGAGCACGTATTATATCAAGAGATGGTGTCGAGTAATATCGAGCATTGCTATTATTGGCTTACAAAGAAAAACAGGTCGTGCTCAAAGTTACGTAGCCTGGCCAGTACAGGGCGACCCGCGACAGCTCTTGTATTTAGACAGTTGTTCCTACATCATGCGTGGTAGACAGCAAGGAAATGGGTGAAAAGAAACACATGGACCCTTAGGCTGCTGGGATTCGAATACCGAAAGCGACCAGATCATCCCGGATACATGCCGCGATCCTCACCTGGAACCACCTTGACGGTAAATCCGTTGCTCCCCTGATTGGCGATCTCGTAATGTCCTCCCAGTACCAAATCTTTGGCGACCAATTCGCGCTGGCGGCCAAGACTCTCAATGTCGGCGATGCGGAGTGTCGTGGCCTCAAGGTGCTCGTTAAAGCCAGGTTCAGAACAGATCTGCCGGAAGGCATGGTGCATAGGCACAGACGATGCTCGAACATCGGCCTCGGACGTGATGGAGAAGAGGTTCAATCGGTCCATTTGCCGGATAAAGTCAGCGCGTGTCATGCGCTGTTGTGCGATATGCAGAGGAAACGAGGGAAGGATGTGACCGATCTTTGCATCGTATGTAGCGTCCATGTTGGGTTCCTCTTGCACAAGAGCTTGCGCAAGCACCATTGCTGCGCTCTAAACGTGAAGGTGGTCAGCGGTGCTCACAAGAGAGAACGAGGTGAAGCCTGGGGGTCATCACTTACAGCCCACTTCTGCTGATCCATGACATCGTCGTCCATTTCAGCTCCAAGGATCCAGCATTGATTTAGGAACCACCGCCTCTCGTTATCACAGATGCGCTTGCACATGGCCAGCATGTCGCGGCTTTTTGCAACGCGGTTCAGGAACGAGAGACGCCCACCAACGAGGTCGTACACCTCTTCCAGCTCGCGGGCCGACACTTGTTGCCCAAAGTAGCGGACTCGATACTTCTGCAGCGCAATCGAAGCTTGCGCCTTGGGAAGGTCAAGCACAGGGATGACCTCCATTCGCGTGGCCAGTTGCTTCAGCCTTTCATACACCCAAAAGTCGTCGCTGTTGAAGACCATGGTCACAAGGTTGGCTGCCGCCCATTGCTCCGCTCGCTGCTGAAGTAGTTCAATGAGGTCTTTGCCGTCATCGTCGTCACGGATCAAGTGCATCTGGTTGATGATGAGCACCAGCGGCTTCTTGCGCTCAGCTCGCTTGAGGAGTGCCACCTTCTCCAGCTTGTTGAGGGCACGCTCGATGTCCAGGAGTGCTGTGGTGTCGCGGGGGCCACGCTCACTGAAGTAACCGCCGATGTAGTCTTCGTGGAACTCAAAGTCAAGGGCCTTGCCGAGGCGGATACGAAATATTTCCAGGTCGGCGTGGGCCTCAAACATGGCGACGCCGTCGCCATCAATCTTGCGCATGGCCTCAATCAGCATGCTGCTCTTCCCAGTGCCCTTGTCGCCAATAAGAAGATGGTAATGTCCAACTTCTTCGCCCTGGACAATCTGGTCGACACGAAGCTGCTCAGGCCGGTTGACCCAGCGGTCATCCATATCGGCAGGTGTCATGGGCACTTCTTTGCCGATGGCTGCGAGATCGAGAACAGGGTCGCCTGGCTCAAAGGCATTGGCCATCTTGTTGAGAACGATGCGTTTGTAGGACTTGTGATAGGCATAGCCAGCGATGCCAAATCCTGCGGCAAGGACAAGTATGGACGCGAACGACGTAGCAGCCGACTCAAGCATCTTCTGGGGAAGTGAGAGCTCTCCATTGCCATTCTGACTATTCTGAGGAGACGCTGCAGAAGATGGCTTGACGTCGGATTCCTTGGAATTGGGCGGTTGGGCTGGAGTAAGTTAGCGCACAGTTGTCGACTGAGCCTGAACATAGATCCGAGTTCCTCACGCGACCATCGTCGAGGGTGTGAGATGGCTCGTCACTGCCAAGGGAGGAGGATGACTGACGACCACTTGGCGCTGCAGCACATGTGTGGCGGCACTTCCTTGGCTCGGGCGTCTCAAGATCATCAGGCCGAGGACCTGGAACATCACTCATTCAGTGCGGGATGTCGACCTGGGTGCTTACCATTCGCTTTGGATGACTGCGTGGAGAAGAATGAGCATTTCGGCCCCCAATTGCCGCTGGCCCACGTCACGGTCGCGGGCTGCTGTGCTCGTAGCAAGGGTCGCAGCGTAAGCCGGACCCCCTGCCTCACCGACGCCATGCCGCCCTCGCCGAACCCTGGAAGAAGACCACTCACGGCGGCCTTTTGACGCTGTACGAATTAAGGGCTGGCGACTTCCCAACAGCGGAACCGAGTGAAAATGTGCGAGAGAAGATGGCTTCCAAGACAGAAAACCCGCAAACCAGTGCGATGGGCGGATGGACGTTTGTTTTGGCCGAGTCAAGAAAGCCACTGGGGCAGTGCCAAGGAAGAAGGGACCTTCCTCAGCTTGTCGCTCTCTTCTTTCAGCTTGCTTGGGGTAGCTTTCCAGGGGGGGTGAGTGGATAGTACCAGCCACGCTCATTTCCCAAGAATGCATGGGCCCTTGTGGCTCACCACCCCTTTTTAGACGACACTCCGTGTCTGGCAGGCATGGTTCCATTTCCGTATCGACTGATCTCTCCTCCTGTCAACTCCAAAAAGCAGCGACTTCATGTGTAGAAGACTCTTAGACACGGAAATCTTGCCAATGGTGCCCTAGACTGTCGTATACATATACACAGATCACCATAGGCCGCGCATTTGCATCGCGAACCTGTCGTGATCCACACGCCATTCCCCAAGTTACCTACCTCTGTACCTGCTACTCTTCGGCTGATGTGGACTTAGATACCGGAAGTGTCACTCTCCTTGCTCATGATCGATGCCTGAGAATCCGATTAGGGGTTTCCGTGATATATGAATCTCGTGTCGATGTCAGGGTCCCTCGTCATGCATCAAGACTCATATGTCTATGGCTGTGAGTGGCGTCCTTCACGTACATCTCGCTGGCACCGCCATGCTGGTTCATCCAGCCGAAATATCCATTCTAACCGGATATAAGCATCATCACATACGCAGTCTTGCCTCACACGTTCAACCAACTCAGTCATGTACGAACAAGAACACCGGAGGCCCGTGCGTTCAATACAGCTGGGCGACTTTCTCCTTCACGTTCTGTCTCTTGCCCTAGATGCCCTTTCCTTTGGCAGTAGTAACCTTGACGAATACATGATGTTCTGGGCTTCATTCCTTCATTCCCTTCGCCTTCGTTACGTTCAAATCTGCTCAACACTTTACTTCCTCGGCTTGACTGAACACTGCGACCTTCGACACAAGCTTCGCTCCCATCAGCTGCAGAAAGTTGCATGGCAGAGGAACGATCAGTGACTGATGACTGGCTCTTCACTGGCCTCTGACAGCTTCCCAAGACAAAGCTGCCACTGAGGCTTCAAAGAGACATACACTTAACACGGACACGGTCTAAAGAGCGGCCCTTTGGAAACAGATCTGTGCAGCGTCCATTGTATGTCATTCCAAATGTCGCTTCCGGGTCATGAAGATTGCATTTGACTAACAGTTGACGCAAGAACAGCCTTTCGTGCGATTTGGAGAGGTGCCATGGAGTGTTCTTCAGACCAAAAGCGCCATGAGCTTCCAGAACTGGATTTTGGTCCCGTGTTAGCTTTGCAGTCATCCCTCGAAGGGATCGGCACAGAGACCAGCAACATTGGATTTGCACGGAAGCCAAAACCGCTGGTGTATAAAGCCCGTCCGAAAGGGAGTGCCTTGGAGATACAATCGACATTACCATCATATGGACCAAGAGAATTACCACCCAGTCCTTCGTCCACGCGTCCGGCCAAGGGAGAGCTCGATATACCAATACTCCGAGGGTTTCCCGGCAGAGAGATTCTCGGCGCTGTGACAGATGAAGACCAATGGGCTGCCGACTTGGAGAAATCAAAGTCCCCTGGTTGGCCTCACGATTTGGGTCTGTCGGAGACCATCTTCCATCAGCATCCTCTGGCTGATGAGATGGGCTTATCCATTGAACATCAAGCACTTCTGGGGTTGATTATCCCAGAGCAAAAGACGACCAGGAACAAGACTAATGACTATGAGGCTGATGAAGAAAACTCAGAAAACGAAAGACAGGCCTTGGACCACATTCAAGGAACAGTGTCGGCTACCGCCATCCGTTCTCTTGGCAAGAGAGTCAAGTCTTTGACCAAGATGAAAAGCGCCTCCAAGTTGCCGCACAGCAGCAGCATGGCGACCATGGCTGAGCTGCTGATAGACTTTTCACCGCCTCCTCCTATACCGAGCGATCACCGTCCCAGCTTTCTTCGTGCGGCTAAGTCAGCATCCTCGCTACGATCAAAACAGGCAGCCCCGAGTGCTACAACCTTGAGATCCAAGCGCAGCATAGGCATAGACAAATCTCTCATCTCGCAACCGATACAGCCCCGCGAAGAACCCAGGTTGACCAGGTCTGAAACTACTCTAACAGGATTTCAAAAATCGTCGTCGTCACTCAGTCTGCCCCCTGTGAATTTGCTCGTCTCAGCAGCCTCGGCAGACTTGGGAGTGCTTTCGAGACAACACCCATCATCGCCTATCATGCCACAGGCTCTTGGCTTGAAGGAGTTTAGGGCCGTGAAAGAGGTGACTTATGGCTTGGCACGACCGCGCCTGTCGCCGATGGAGTATGTACGCAGGTTCCTCATCGAGCAGGCAAAGGCTGCCCGTGAAGGGCGAGATTGCAATATTGCAAGACCGGAACTCACCAGTTTCTTCACAAAGGACGACGAAAGATTCATTCTGATTCCAAAGATTCCTGCGTCTGCGATGTACCTCACTCCTCAGACCCCTCTTACTCAAAGCTCCATTCAAAAACCCAAACTTCATCTCAGGCCTATTGCCAAGCCTGTGGTGAAGGGCCCGAGGACCCGCGCCCGCAATCCGGGCCCCTCAAAGCTCAACATAATCACGTCAGCGGTTTCCGACGACGAACCAGAGAAGGAAGAAACCCAAGGCGCCCGCGAAATATCTGTCAATCCCAGCAAACCAGACGGGCGGCCTCAGGAAGAGCTGTGCACAACCCAAATCCCAACACCTGAGAAGCACAGTCGTCTGAGCGACTCACTACTCCGGACACTGCGACCAACTAGCCCTACTTTATCTGCTGGTCACCACCTATCAGATCAAACCCACTTCGTTGACATCACGGCAGTACCAGCGCCTCTCAGGCTACTAGGACCAAAGCGCAACAATCCGTTGCCGAGGGACATTCAAGCGCTCTCCACAGCCATACGCGAAGACATATCCAGGGACTCTGATGCTGCTTCGACGCGTTCTAACGAAAGTGCTGTGACAATACTGCGCAACGGAAAGCCGATTCATCCCAGAAACGCTACGTTTTCGGTTGAACAACCAAAGGAAAGAGGAACTACCGTCACCAGCATCATGGCAGAACCCGAAGGAAAGGGTTGCAACGAAGGCCACCAGACCAAGGAGGGCAAGAGCGAAAACACTGACTTCCCGGAGGAGGCCATTGGACAACCCGAACCGGACGCTGGCCCTATGATCCAAGCAGTTTCCTCGGATATGGATCGGCCGACTAGTCTGATCATTCCACCCGCCCTGCAGCAATATTTTGATGAGCTTACTGAGAAGCACAACTCTTCGAAAGACAAGGCTCAATCCCCTACACCATCCCCCAAGTCCAGGGACATTACTTCTGTGGAGGAGAGCACAGTGGAAAATGACGCACCTATCTCGGATCAAGGCAAGACCGCGTCAGCTGCAACAGACGTTCAGTCACACAGCGGCCAAGGCAAGCCTTCAGCCGGTGCCTCGTCCAGCACATCGAATCCTGGTGCGAAACCACGCAAGTCTAAACCCACTCGTCCTGTGCGTTTCCCCAAGATAAACGTTGCGGATTGGGGACCTCCGCCAACACCCCCTCCGAACAAGCCATTGCCGCCCCTGCCAAACCGACCACCAAACCGCCGCTTCATGGCTTCTCCTTCGACTCCCTTGCCAACTTCTTCACACAAAAAACGACCAATGGCATCTGTAGCCCCAGCCTCGTCTGGATCTCCAGTCATACCAAAAAAGGCGCTCGTCAAGTCGCTGTCCGAGGCACCCCTCCGACAGCCCTCGCCTCGCAACCAGACTCAAATCACCGACTTCTTCCAGAGTGCAGGAGAGGTGAAAGAACAGAGGCACAGAATTGAAACCAAGGACGTCAACAGGACCAAACTTCAAGGTCCCAGTCCGTCATCCATAGTGCAACGCCTGCAGAGGAGGATCTACGAGCTGGAGGATGCTGCCAGGGCCCAGGTCAAGGAACGAACTAACGGCGGACAAACTGTCCAAAGCCTCGCAAACCCAGTTCAAGTTCAGACCAACAAAAGCTCGGAAGACGACGACGAGGAGGAGGACTCTATCATGGTTGTTCGTGTGGAGGACTTTACGTACCGACCTCCAACTACTAATCCAGCCAAGACACAACCGCCAATGTCGACCCTCGGGGGAGGCATCTACAGTGACCCACAGCCTTTCAGGAACATGGCAATGGTCAATACTTATTCAGCGTACGATCACAGGCCCCAAAATGGTCATCAAGAGAATACGCCCAAGTCGCGAATCCCGATCAGAGCAACAACAACGCCGTCATTTGGGCCACCAGCCGCGAAATGCAGTCCGCCGGGCCTTGTTGAGAAGCAGAGCATCAGCCAGATGCGTAGCGTATTGCCTGCGCCTTCACTCTACCAAACATCAAGTTCAAAGAACCTCGCGCCTGGGGTGGCAGAGATTCCAAGATCTCTGGCAGAATCGACTGGTCACATCATGCCAGGCAACCCCCCAATCTCCTCTAAGAAGACGCAGGATGCTACAGGTCGTTTTGGTTTCGATGCCGAAGAGCCTACCGATGTCCCAGCCTAGAGTTCTGGGCGTCGCGCAGACCCATTTGCAACATCTGACACAACCCCTCCCCATCTTCAAGGTAAAACGACTCACAGGGTTGCAGAAACGGCGCCGAAGATTCCTCTCCGTGGGCAGTCGACAGCAGCTCGTCAGGGAACAGCTTACCAGGGCAGCCACGGAGGGAAGCCATCTGAGCGGAGCCCTGCCCTTCGTTCCGTCAAATCTTACGGCCCCTCGGCTCTGAACTCTCTACCGAAGCCAGAGGCTTCTAATGAACCGGCGGTCGGAAGCGCGCAGCTGAACACTGGGGTTGGACAATCAGCACAAGTACTGGGTGCTAACAAACCTCGCACTTTGGAGAAAACTAAGGCTGCTATCTCCAGGACTACTGGGGAAGATGAACACGTTGTGGCAAAAAAACAAGTCAAAATGCGCCTTCTCGAGATGAAGTCTCTTGCAGACTTCCGAAGTCGACGAACAGGTGAGGCTGAAGCAACTGCCCCCAGCTCCGAGAATGCTGCTCAGGACCATGGGAGAAGCTCCTCGGGGCGTAACAGGATCGCCAGCGCTGAGGCTTCTGTGCGTAGAGATGAGGACTCTATGGGGAGCTCCTCGGAGGAGGCCCAAACCCGGGCTCACGGCCGATCGAGACGGTTTTTCGGCATGTTCAAGAAGGACAAGCGGAGTGATGAGAAGTGATCGCTGACAAAACGATGCGGTTGCATCGAGGTTTCCGCATGCGCACCATTTGCATAGTGAGACTGGTTCCGAGGCTTGCTGGGAGTGAGATGAGCACGGGGATGATGCATGCAGCTACCTAGCTACCGACCTAGGTCTCGTCGCATGGAATGCTTTTGTTTGCGACCGCCTAGGTAGTTGATTCGTCTTGTTAGAGTCAAGTAGGATAAACTCATCATCCATATTGCAATACAGTCGCATCCACTTCAATACGGGCTGTGATGGGCTGGCGCATCTGCCCACTACTGATGAATTGGTGGATGGTGATCAACGACTGAGGCCTCGACATGTTCCAGAAACGACACTGGATAAAAGGCAGGAGCTCAGGAACAGATGCGTGCAGGAAAGACAATCAACTTCATGCTCTTTCCCTTGCTTGGTAACTCCCTTTGGTATTTGGGCAAGCACGTCACAACAACAGGTAAGGTACCTACCTAGTCAGGGGACAGGGCGAGGAAGGACAAAAGGGAAGCAATAGCCTCCGGATGCGGTCCAAGCTTCAAGCTCTTCGACCATCTTAGTGCTCCTTCCCGCTCCCATCAACCACGACGACAGGGGAAGGGGTTACTGGGGTCTCAGTACCCCACAGGAGCTCCCAGCCACCTCTCTTCACCCCTGCCTCACCAAAGTCACCACGCGAACTCGAGTGACCGACCCCTTACCACCCTTTTACCACCCCACTCTGTCGAATCCACCTCCACGCGTAAATCGATTTTTTCCCCTAATCGCGCCCGCGTCGCGAAACACCAAGGCGAAAGCCGCTCGACCCCCTCCGCTCTACCTACCCAGAGGCGGACGTTCCAGATGAGCTTCGATCAGGCGAGTGACTCTGACCGAGAGTCATCAATTGAGGGGGACAACCGCATTCTACCCCACGCCCAGCTCACAACGGACGTCAAGCGTGCTGCTCGTTCTGGGCGCACTCGTTTCGATCCCCCTCTGCCTGCATACGGTGGCGAGGGCCAGGAGTTCCAATTGCAAGAATCCGGTGATGAGTCGGATAACAGCGACTATACCCCTCCAGTCTTGCGGACTTTTTCCTCCCTTAACCCGCCCTCCTACTCGGACGACGACGGAAACGACGACGACGACGACGACGACGACGAAGAAGAGCAGGAGCAAGATGATAGCCAGCGAGCGGAAGAACAGTTGTTGAACGGCTACAATATGTATCAGCCGACCCAATACTCGCTCACTGCGGACCAAAATCTCAATTATTCAATCCCCCCAATCCCGTCGCAAGACGAGCTGCCGCAGCCAATCTACTCTAGCGAAGATGAGGACAGACCGCTCGACAAGTATGCGATTTTGGCTGCTGCGAGCAGAGATCGTACCCCGGAACCCATTGATGGTACGTTGACAGAACATAACGATACCAAACACCGCTGACATCGCCAAAGGTCTCCCAGGTCCAGACGAGGAGGTTGGCGCACCACCTTCGGCTCAGCCACGGGAAGACATCGAAATGGCCATAAAACGATCCAGTCCAACGACACCTCTGAGCCTGTTGCGAAAGGCCACCAAACGAAACTTGACGCACAGCGAGAAGGAGCGACGTGCCGACAAGAAAAGGCTGAAGACAAAGGCCGCTCCAGCTGTCGCCGTTGGTGCCAGCTTCGCTGCCGAGAATCCCGGGATGAACGGTGACCTTGTCGATGATTCTACGCCGTCCGATCCAGATGTCGACGACGACCCTGTCACCGAGACAACGCCCAGCAAGCAAGCAAAGAGGCCACCAGCGACGCCCGTCCTAGCCACTACGCCAGCCAGCCAGAAGCGCAAGCAGCAGTCTAAGCCCACATTCGCACTCGCATCTCAACAGAAGCCTCTGAAGACGTATCGTCAAAAGAGCTCTAGCATCAGGTCCGATCCCTACATCGATGACGATAGCGAAAATGGTTCTGGCAATGGTGGTGACAAAACCAATGGGGAGCATGCGGCTAGCCCAACAGCCGAAGCGTCTGGTCAAACTATGAAGCAGACCAAACTGTCTTTGTCCGCCCAGAAGGAACGAGATGCGGCAAGTACACAGGTTGCAATGGGTAACGGCAATGTAAGAGCAAGAAATAGCAAAGCAGCAGGTGGCAGCACTCCGACGCCACGCAGGTCTACGCAGACTCCTACATCAACCCGGAAGACAAAGAAACGAGCCAGCCAGCCAAATACTCCTACTACACCTCAGAATCCGCTCAACCGAGTCTTCAATAAGGATGATCTCCTACGGATCACACAGGCTATCGAATCATTTGGCGCCCAGCACAAGCTGACGCAAGTAGAAATCAATGACATGATTCAAGAGCGTTTCGGAGCCGGCCGGCACTCTTTCAACGAAGTGCTCGATACACTTTGGAACACGATCTTTTCCGTATGCCCTGGAAAGGCGCGTCAAAAGACCATCGACTACTGCCGCAAAAACTTCCATAACTTCAAGGCGCGCGGCGGCAACTGGACGGTAGAAGAGGATGAGGACTTGGCCATGCTGGTCGAGCAGCACGGCAAGCAGTGGACGAAATTGTCCAAGGAACTCAACCGCCATCCAGATGATATTCGGGACAGGTATCGAAACTACGTCATTTGCGGTCCAAACCTGGATCGGTCCGGCTGGACTGACGACGAGGAGCGCTTGCTTTTGAGATTTGTTGAAGAGGCACGCGAAACCCTCAGGGGCCCTTTGAGAACCCGTCCAATTGAGTCGACTATTGATTGGCAGAAGATCAGCGACGCGTTTGGTCGCAGCCGCAGCCGTCTCCAATGCTTCACCAAGTGGAAACGGTTGCAAGGCGAATAAGCGCAGGGAAAGACTGTACATGTCTCGACGAATGGCTGGGGCGTTTAGGGATACCCGAGACTCTTGTGTTTTTTTTCTTCTTCTTTAGCTCTTTCGTAGCACTGGGTCTGGTGATTAGTTGCTTCGAGACGGCATAGCATTATCATGATCGAAACACGAATGGGCTGGAAAAGTATGGTCAAAAGAGGTTGCGTGCGCCTCGCGGCGATGGCTCTTATGTATCAAGTCTATATCGTGTAGCGAAAATGCGGGCTTTCGTCCCCCAACTCTGCTAGCTCTTCCTCCGAAAGGTCGCGGTGCTTGTCGGAGAGTTCGCCGCGATCCCGCTGGTTATTCTGGCGGTTGAAATACCACCACATGAAAGCATAGATGCATGTTGCCATGCTCACCATGGCAAGTGTCGTGGCGTGACCACGAATGTACCGCGGCCCGTCGGCAGAACCGCTGAGGGCACGCAAAGTCAGTTGACGGCTCATTTTGTCACGTTCAAGATGAGAAGAAACGTACTAGATGAATGGCGCCATAATGCCTGCACAGTTACCCGTCGAAAGCTGCATTCCGTTGGCTGTAGTTCTCTTTCCATATCTGGGAGAGTTGTTCGGCAGCTATGAACGCCTCGTCAGCAACATCGTCCCAAAATAGCAGGGAAGGGGAGCAGGTGGAATGCGACTCACCCAGGCGAGCGGCAGCCCGACAACGACGTAGAGTCCGGTGGCTACGAGGAAACATCTATCATGGGTCAGCAAGAAGAGTGTGGCGCTGAGAAGCTGCGGTCCTTGTACACACCCAAAATAGTGCACGCCCTGGGAAGTCGGGGATATCAGCACGCCGTAACCGACGACACTGATGGTACCGAAAATGACGCAGAACAGTCCGCGCTTGCGCGTGCGGTCCGAGAGGAATGCGATGCACATGTAGGTCGCGGCGCCGAGGAAGTAGCACGGGACCGTGAGGAGCTGGACTTGAGCCACCGTCCAGTCGCCGAGGCCGCGGATAATGGTGGGCAGGAACGTGGAAAATCCTGGTCAGGCAGGGTCAGTCACCAGATCGACCGCCTTTATGAGCCTTGCTGTGGCTCAGCAATGGTGGCGACTCACCGTATAACATGGTGTCTGCGCCAAAGAGCCCGATGCAGAACATCCAAACTTTCCAGTCACGGAAGGCCTTGACCATGTCGCGCTGGTCGAATTCCTGGGCGCTCTTCGTCTGGCCGTACTCCCGGCCCAGTCTCGCGGCCATCATGACTTTCTCCTCCTCGGTAAAGAAGTAGGCAGTGGCGGGGTCATTCGGCAGGGCCCAGTACGTGATGATGCCGAGCACAAAAGTCGGGATGCCCTCGATGATCATGATCCACCGCCAGCCGCTCATGCCCTGGACGCCGTCCATGTGTCCGATGCCGTACGCGAGCAGACCACCAAGCGCGCCAGCAATGGCGGCCGACACGAAGAGGTATCCCACACGCAGGGCGAGCTCGTGCTTGGTGTAGAAGAAGGTGAGGTAAACGTTCAGACCCGGGAACAGGCCGGCCTCGAAGATGCCGAGCAGGAGGCGGCAGGCGAGGAGGGCGCCGTACGAGTTGACAAGGCCCGTCAGGGTCGCGACGATGCCCCAGGCGCATGTAATGAAGGCTATCCAGCGGCGTGGGGTGAAGCGCTTAAGCACGAGATTGGAAGGAACCTCGAACAAGATGTACGTCACAAAGAGGATCGAGACGGCGACCTGGAACTGGTTGCCGACGAGCCCAAGGTCCTCTTCGAGGCCGTAGAGGCGAGCATTGCCAATATTGACACTTTGAATTGTTCCAGAGTGTAAGTAATTGTTCGCCACGCCCGCCCGAAAAATAAAGTAAGGGAAAGCATACCGGTCGAGAAAGCTCATGAGATACAAGAGCATTACCAGGGGAATGAGGTACAAGTCTAGTTTTCTCACTAGTTTCTCCTCACTGACATTCCTCGTCGTGAGACTGGTTGTGCTGGAAGTCTGGTTCCCATCGGACACCACATCCTCGGGCTGATTGGCAGCCATCGTCAGAGGCTGATCCGTCCCGTCTGTTGAGAGCTTGCGGCTGTTGGTGTTTTCTCACAGAATTTCAAGGGAGTCTTCAATCCTCGTCCTTCGGTCATACAACTTTTGCTGTGAAGAGCGGAATCACCCGGGCGGCGACATCGGTGATTACATAAGCGCAAAGTCATGCTGTAATCATGCGAAAATTCCAGAGTTTGTACGGTACCTAGATACCTACTACCTACCTACCTACCTAAGGTAGGTAAGTTACCTAAGGTAGGGAGGTCGACTTGGTGTCCGGATGCCATCGCAATTGTGACAATAACGATGACTGCATGAGGAATTGTGCTCGGGGATTTATCATCCGAGTCCAGCACAAATGGCACTACTGAGTGGCTTGGCGGCACTGGGTACCAGAAGGCGAGGTTCGCACCCGCATGGCGACACGTACCTCCCACGTCCACCTGCACTACATGTAGCATCTCCTCGACCATTTGCTGCTTGTCAGCCTCCGCCAAGGGACCTCGAAAGATGTCTCTGGTTTGGGCCTCTCCGATACGGGGGCTCACAAGGGAATATACCCACTGCTGCGAATCCTTCCAGCGCTGCCCAGGCTCTGCACAGTGGCATTGGCAAAGGATGGCGGCGCAGCAGCATCCTGGGTAGCGCAAGTGCCGTGCTTATAAGCTGAGGGCTCTGACCCGAACGAGGACTCTCTAAGACGTACAGAATATCTTACCCTCATTTCAAGTTCATTTCGAGACACCATGAAGTTCCTCGTTCATATCTTCCTTGGGACCATCGTCGCCGTCTTGGCCAGCGCCCAGACGCAAGCTCCACCAGCTGGGTGGCCTGTCTTTTGGCACAAGGGTATAATCACCGACAAGCCCACCTCCATCTACAACCCGACCAATGAGTTCATATTCCCCAGCGTATTTCATGCCGGACGCTGGCTGAACAATGCTCGAGCTGAGTGGTACATTTACTATGCGCCTCACGACGATCCCGGCGGCATCTCGCTTCGTTACTCGGACAGCCTCGAGGGGCCCTGGACAGAGTATCCCAACAACCCCGTCATTTCACGGTCCTGGGGCTCACACTACAACGTCCCACATGTCTCGAGTCCGGATGCCATTTGGAATCTGGAAGCGAATGAGGGACAAGGTCGCATGATCATGTACTTTCACGGCAGCAACTCCGTCACCCGCTGGGCCTACTCGGACGACGGCATCAAGTTTGGCTACGGCGGCGTCGCCGTCACCAACGCCATGGGTGGGCCCGCCGTGACCGAGACGAGCTACGCGCGCGTCTTCAGGCACCCGGATCCGAACTCAGGGTACAACTATGGCATGTTTTACATGGGCAATGAGCGTGACAACATCCGCCGCATCCGTCTCGCCGAGTCGATCGACGGCAAGACCTGGACCGTCAGCCCCGACTACGTCGTGGCGCCCGGCTCCGAGGAAGGTGCCAACGTCTCGGCTGGTGAACTGTGGAACTGGAGAGGCCAGAACTACATCATCTATCATGCTTCCAGCGGCAAAGCGTACGCTCGTACGATTGATCGCACGCTGCGCAAAGTTGGTGATAAGCCCATTGTGCTGTTTGACGGCAGGGGCGACAACAGCGGAGATCGCGTGGCCTCGCCAGTTGTCGTTACGCGCAATGGCTTGACATACTTGTTCTACGAGAAGGGAGACCGTCTCGGCGGCACCATTGCTTGGGCAAAGATGGCTGCTCAGTAAATGGGTCGTGGTGATCTGAGGAGGTTTCCACGTGAAGACGGCGACAACAGCTGTCGAAAATTGGTTGAAATCGAGAAAAGGTAATGGTTGCCATTCCATGACAATCTTGAGGCTCTGATCTCTCACTCGGGTACAAGCTGATGCATAAGAGCTGTGGTGCTACAAATCCAAGGTATTTTGGATATCCCAGGTTGATAGCTCTCGAGAATTCGTCTACGATCAGTGGGTTTCACCTCAGAAGAACTTGAAAGCGGGTGTTCATTTCACTTCAGGCTCACGGATATTTCGCGGATACACCAAATTCCCAAGCAAGCCCTTCCGTGACTTGGGAGCCCCATGCAGAGTTTACTCCATACATTTCGCCTCTTTCTCCTTCTTGGTGTCTCTCAGATAATCCTACAAACACATTCTTTTCGCCGATGCCGTAAATTATGCACACTTCGTGGCCTGTTAAGCTGATTTGATGCCATGAGTTTCAGTCTCGGTACCATTCGCTCTCGCCAGCGCATCGGGCAAGGCTCTCGAAGCCTCGCTAGTCACCATGTCATTGTCTTCTTGGAAGTCGGGCTCTCCGCCCGTGGGACCAGCCAGGCCATACCATGCAACAACGCAAACGCCCAGGACGCCAGCGATGCAGCTGAAGACGAAAGCGACGATGCCCCGAGTAGTGAACCTGAAAGACGTTAGCTGTGCCTGTTTCACCATAAACGTCTCTTGAAGAACACTCACCCTCCCGGTAGAGGTCGTGGCGGGGCATTTTGGCCCTTAAGATCCAACAAGTTCTGCGTATTTGCTGCGGCATTACCCGCGACAGGCACATCGCCTGCTGCGCAGACATCGAAATGGTCTTGCGGGATGGCAATTGTCTTCTGGAGCTCCAGAGGGGCCTCAACAAAGGTCGCCATGAGACCTGACGTGACATGCCACTCAATGTGGCAATGGAATAGCCAGATGCCTGGTCACTGTCAGTAATGCAATTCCACACGAGCCTCGTCAGATGAGAAACATACCAGGGTTGTCTGCCTTGAACCTCAAGACGATGTTCCCGTTTGGCCACACGACCAGGGTATCGCGTCGCATGGGAACCTTGGGGAAATCGTCCTCAGTCAGATGAGCATCCTCAAACGTTCCAGCTTCTTCGACGGATCGGTGGAGTGCCTGGAATGCATGACCATGAAGGTGGAAGGGGTGTCGTCCGGGGTCAAGGTTGTTCAAGACAATCTGAACAATCTCATCCTTCTCCAGGACAAAGCTATGAGTGTATTCGCCGTACACCTGGGGGTTCGTCGCAAGATCTCCGGATGTGAGCGCAGTGTACAGAGTCGGGACCTTGGGATGCGCATATGTAATGTTGTTGAAGAAGGCATAGTTGGCGCCGTCGCCCAGATTGCCCATGACCACATCGAGCTCGACGGTATGGCCAGGCTCCCCGTACCTTTCCAGCTCATCTTGGGGAACCAGTGTCATGTCATCGAACGGCTCGAAGGTGTCAACTATCGCAGGCGCCGGCTTGTCCTTCGCATCGTCGTACACCAGCCAGCCGGTGACATTCCAGTTGAGGTCATCAGGCAATTGGTCGAAAAGGTCCTGAGTATGGCTGTCAACAGACTTGTCAGACAGTTCAGACGAAGAGACCTACAGTGTCCATGCTTCCCACAATTGGAAAATTCTGGCTTGTGTCGTTTCGAGTCGTCAATAAGAAGCTGCACCTTTGCGCCGCAGCCAAGTAGATCATGCTGGCTTCTGCGGGCTTAGTGTAGATGCCATCAACCTCGACAATGGAGATGTTGTGTCCCTCGAACCAGAGATACTGCGCGGCAAAAGCCGCCATGTTGATGACCCTGATCAAGTACGTCTTGCCGGGCTCGACAGAAACGGCCAGGTTCTGGGTTTCGTTCATCAATGCTGCCTGCGGGACCGGTTCGGCGCCCGTTGGATTTGACTTTGTCAAGAATCGAGGAATGAGAACTTGCATCTGCTCATGGTACCAATCCGAGAGAGTCAATACGATCTCCTCGCTGTACTCGTCTTTGAAGGGTGAGTCTGGGTCGTGAATGACCAGAGGGCCTCTCAAACCATCTGGGTACTGGCTCTGGGTATGTGAGTGATACCAGTATGTGCCAGGTTGGTCGATCTGTTCCCGTTAGAATTGACATTTCTGTGCGACAAGGACTCAACTGACTGTAAAGTTATACGTCATGGATGAACCTGGAAGAATGGCGCATTGCGTAACCATGGACGGTCCGTCCATATGTGTTGCATTGTTCATGAAGAGACCGTGAAAATGAAGCGACGTCGATTGGTTTCCGAGCTCATTGTGCGCGTGAACAATGACCCTGTCACCTACGTTGGCATCGATGCGAGGGATGGGCCACTGGCCGTTGATGCCTATCGTTGGCCTGTTGAACGCTCCATCTGGATTCGCTGTCACCCACTCAATGGTGAAATTGTAGGTGACAGTTGCCGCGAGGGCCGGACACAAGAGTCCAAACGATAGAGCAAGGCGACTGATTCTCATTGCGAATGGAGCTTTCAGGCGGCTGTTCCTAAAGACAGGGTGTGTTCCTTTGGCCCTGGAGAGAGAGGGACAATGACGGCAAGAGAGAAGAGCGTCAAAGACATCAAGGAAAGTGCGAAGCGAGCAGAGGTCGTACCCTCGGAGCCGAGATCTACATGATACAATCATTCCAACCTTCATCGGCACGAGGTAATCGGAAACGGAACAGACGGCTGCGTTATCAATCTGATAATCAGGTATAAGCCAGGCTCAGACCAACCCTTGTACGCCTCCATCACGATGTATCCCTTAGCCCATTGGCCATGAAGATCAAGGCGAGTCAAGATGCGGTGCTGGCTTGGACCCCTCGCCGTCGGCTAGTGGTAGCTCGGCTCACGGCATGTTCCCTTACCGTAGAGCTTCATCTGCCAACATGTTGTCCTATCCCTCAACTGGCACGAAAGTTGGGCGCGACTCGTTAAGTGACTCCAGTGATTGGCCGTGGTATAAACCTTCAGCCGCTCGGCTGGGCCATCAGTGGGCGAAGACAAGCTTTTCAGTCAGACTACCGTTGCATTAGCGTCACGCAAGTGGTACCACCCAACACGAGTCCTAAGAGGGGCACCATGTGCCGGTAGCCGTGATCGCGGGACAAGTTGATCTCAGCCCACACCGTGTCATTGGACCCTTCAATCTACTCATACCTTAGCTAGGTAAGCGGCTGTCCTGACTTGCAAGACGAAAGAGATCGGAAGAGTAGACCTAGGTCGTCCCCCTCTTCTCGAAGCTGATCTCTTGCCCCCTCCTTCTTGCCCACCTGGGAATTCATCCTGAGAAGAAACACCATCACAGCTTATGGAATCTGAAGCTTGGTAGACATCATGACAGTCAATGTATTCTCAGTCCCCATCTTTCTCGTGGTTTTCCGCGAGGCACTCGAGACAGTCATCATCGTCTCGGTGTTGATGGCCTTCTTGAAACAAACCCTGGGCGGCCCCGAAGGCGACCAGCGTGTCTACAAGATCCTTCGAAGACAAGTAAGTTCTGATTGTGGTCATATCATTTGCTCTTGTGGTTCTGACTATGTCCAATAGGTCTGGCTCGGCGTAGGCACAGGCCTCTTGCTCTGTCTAGTTGTAGCAGGCATCATCATTGGCGTCTTCTACGGTGTCGGCCGCGTGAGCTGGGAAGCCAATGAGTATTACTATGAGGGATCCTTTGCCCTGTTTGCCTCGATTATCATCACGCTGATGGGTGTCGCCCTCTTGCGTGTCGGAAAGATGCAGCAAAAGTGGCGCATCAAGCTCGCCAAGGCTCTCGAGGCCCCGATCAACAAGGGCGGCAACAAGGGACGCTTCAAGCGATTTGCCGAAAAGTACATCATGTTTGTCCTGCCCTTCATTACCATTCTCCGCGAGGGCATCGAAGCCATCGTGTTTGTGGCTGGCGTCACCTTCTCCGCCCCTGCGTCTGCCGTTCCCATTCCGGTCATTGTTGGTTTGATCGCAGGTATCGCCGTCGGTTTCCTGCTGTACAAGTAAGTCCTACTACGCGCAAAATGTTCGTATCATGTCTAACAACGGTCAAAGGAGTGGCACCTCCACCAGAATCCAGGTCTTCCTTGTTGTCTCGACCTGCCTGTTGTACCTTGTTGCAGCAGGCCTCTTCTCTCGTGCCGTCTGGTTTTTCGAGGCGCAAAAATGGAATGACGCCGTAGGAGGCGATGCGGCCGAAGTCGGCAGTGGCCCTGGCTCATATGATATCGACAAGAGTGTCTGGCACCTCAACGTCCGTAACACCTCTCTCGTTTTTCCTGATGAATGTTCGTAGGGCTGACCTTAGGGATAGTGCTGCAACCCCGAGCTGAACGGCGGCGGCGGCTGGGGTGTTCTGAATGCCATCTTCGGATGGAACAACTCGGCTACCTATGGCTCCGTCATCTCATACAATGTATACTGGATCTTTGTCATGACCTGGCTGATCCTTCTCCGTTTCAAGGAAGTCAAGGGCAGATGGCCATTCATGAAGGCAAAAGCCGTCCCTCAGCCACCTTCATCCAGCCATTCGGGTTCATTGGATTCGCCCGACAACCACGAGAAGCAGAGTCCAGAAGCCACTGTAGCTTCAAGTACAGCCCATTAGGCGATTCAAGTCTTGTTATTGCAGTGTATACTGGTTATACGAGTCGAACGGCCTCAGGAGAAACTATTGTCGGCTTCTCATATCCATCTAGCTACAGTCATTAACCATGCTCGAAGAACTGAAGAGTCGTGTGGAGTTTCGACGAACCTTTTGGATCTTTTCAGCTACAAAATTCTCAGTACGTGGACGAGACCTCGAAACACATGTTCATTAATCATGTATCAACTACACTACTATAGTGTCTTGGGCATCATGGCTCGTGTATCTAGCTCGCCTCCTATTTACAAGTCGATCTCCCTCGAGACCAGACAGATCCCGTTTATACAATTAGGCGGCCTGGTGTCATGCTCTTTCATACATGCATTCAATGGATGAAGAAGCTCATTTCATCCACATATGCGCCCGTGATGATGGTTTAGCACACTGTGCGTGGCAGTCCATCACATAAAGGCGTCCCTGCTGCCCCCTTTCCTATGCGGCGGAGTTCTGTGTGGTGGAGGTTGCGGCGGTGATGGGCTCCTCTCGCTGCCACCACGTGATGTGTTGTACCGTGTCCGCTGTGCTTCATACTCAGCCTCTTGTGCCACTTGATCCTCTCGTGCCCTACTCGGTGGCGATCCTGTGATGCCTCGACCGTATTTAGATGCCTGGGCGGAAGATAGATCGCCAGAGTGTCCCAACACATGTCGCTTGTCGTCTCCCGGGTAGTACTCGTCGTTTTCGTCATCATCGTAGTCGTCATCATCATCGTCATCATAACGAGGCAACGCTGGCATTGATCGTGAGTCGCCTTTCACAAGGCCAGCTTGCTCCTCTTCAGTTGCGTTCTTGACCTGAGGAGTTGAATTGCCTCGCGATCCCAGACCGAAGCGCGTTAGGTGACCAGCTGACCGTGGGGGATGCGGGAGCTCGTCATCAGCCTCGACGGCAGAAGAAGATGTCTGGCCTCGTTTGAAGATGTTCTGGAAGGAAAATTGCCTCCTGGCTGTATGCGGTGGTGGCGTAGGTGCGAGGAAGGAGCTGCCGCCGCTAACACCACTGACGTGAGATCCATGCCGGGCATGATATACACCCTTGGCACCCGTATATTCTGTGTTTGAGACGCCATAATCAGAGTCATGAGGTCTTGTGCGATACGAGCTTCCGTCGTTTATTGAGTGACCGGACACTGCAATGTCTGTCAGAGGAACCGGGGGCATCGGGGGTTGTTGCTTTGGGTCGAGGGAGAAGTCAGGTCGGTTGGGGGTTAATACGGATCGGGCGCGGTTCCGGATCGTACCAGCAATGCTAGACATCATGCCGGGCGAGCTGGGTCGGTCGATGTCGGCGAGCTCGTCATCCGTGGGGAAATGAGACATGCCAAGGGGAGGGTGAACCTCTGGAGTCCGGGGAATGGTGAACGTGCTGCGTACTGTGCCGGACCTGCCCCGCCCAACGCTGCTTTGGCTTCCAAGCATAGTCTTCCTGCGTCTGAGTCCATCCCACTCATACTCCGGCCCGTCTTCACCCACTGGCGCCAGCTGCTCCCGCTGCTTTTCTTCGTGAAGTCGTTTGAATTCCTCAGCCTCCCTCTTTTGCCTCGTAGCTGAAAACCTGCGGACTATGGCCGCAGCACCACGAATGGCGTCAGCTTTGGGCTCAGTCTCAGACTGCTCCTGCTCGGCGATAGTGTGAATCTGGTCCAAGTTTCCTGTGAACACCGCCGTATCGGGTACGTCCTTGGCGGATTTGGATAATTGTAACAAAACAACGCCGGCGCAAATGGTTAGGAAACCCATAACGACGCTCACAATCTGATTGGCGCTGCCTTTGAAGCCTCGGAAAAGCACGGCCGACGTAATGATGGTTGTGCTGGTGAAGTAAACATAGTAGGTCGGCGTGACCATGGCAGCATTGTAGATATTCAACGCCTTGTTGAGATACACAATCTCAATGAGGAGAGTGCCGATGACGAAAACGAGGAGGACATAGATGAACCACTTGTTGAACTGCGGTGTGCCCTCTATCTGGGTCAGAATCGCAGCGCCCAGACCCTGGGTAGCGACAACGCTCAAGCCTCCGATCCAGCTGCAGATGGAGATGTAGACCAACATGGTCTTCTTGCCCCATTTTGGGCCGGCCCAGAACGCGGCGACGAAAAAGCCAATGATGATGACGCCAGCGTAGGACAGAAATCCAGGCTTGATGACAAAGTCTTGCATTTGCTCAATAGTGGCGACGGCAGACTGCTGTGGTGCGTTCATAACGATGACAACTGAACCTACCAGACACAGAAAACAGGAGACCTTGCCAACCATGCTCAGTCGCTCCTTGAGAAATATGGCGGACAGGACTGTGGTAACCACGACGGACAGCGCACCGAGTGGCGTGACAAGAATGGCGTCGGTGAAGGCATATGCAGCCAAGTTGCAAAGCTCTCCGAGAATCATGAGCGTCATGCCGCCCCACCAGTAAGCGTTCTTCAGGAAGCCATAGCCCTCGCCAGCTTCCTCATTATACTTTGCGTTGGCAGCCAGTAGACCCATCTTTTTCAGGATAAAGGAGACGCCGATAAATAGACCGGAGGCAATGGCCAGACATATGCCAACGGTTTTGTAGAAGGCCGGCCGGCTTGACGGATCTCCACCGAGATCAGCTCGCGTGTAGACATGATTTGTTGTGGCCAGCAGCCGCGATGCTTGGTCCATCGCAAACTTGCGGCTTTCGTAGCAAGGCGGCGAATGGTCGAGTTCCTGCCGCAAGTGCTTCGGGTATGACGAAATGGGCGTCGGTGATTGTGTATTCTTTCGATAGGGGTAGAGAGGATTGGCCGAAGCAGGCTAGCAGTGTTCCATGGAATGAGGTGTCTCTGAGCCAGGAACTTGGCATGTAAGAGGCCAGCGGAAAAGTGTGCTGCAATATCTTGCCCACCACTTAGCCACGAGGATGTGTTTGAGAAGGGCGTTCGTCGAGCGTGGGCCTAGGAGTCTCTGTCGAGAGGAAGAGTTGATGGTTCCGGTGGAGTAGTCGAAGTGGTTGTATGCGAAGCGACTTGAAAATGCGTAGTGTCGGTATCAAGGCCACATCGGAGAACAAGCCAAGTCGGACAGCAAGTAGAGAGGATCGAGGTGCCGGAGGTTCTAGCAATGTCGAGTAACAATGTGCAGTCGGACAGCTTTGCCGACTTCGTAGGTAGAGAAATATTAGGAAGCTTGTTTGAGGATATCAAAAAGCCGACTTGAAGGGCAATTTCCAGATTGAAGGAGTTGCCACTGCTACCGCGGCCGTGGTGGTTGTCGGGACGATCGGCGCACGCAACTGGCTGACGTCGTTGAAGCAGGGGGGGGGGGACGTGGTATCGTCAATGGGGGGAGTTGTTGTCACCTGTCGAAAGATCTCCCACTGGATTGTCTCGACAAATGAAGGGCCTGCGACGAACGGCGGCAGGTCAAATCGAAGTTGTCTTGGCGGTGAATGGGAGAATAGCCACAACTAGGACAGCTTCGGAATACATGTCGCAGAGAAAAGTCGGGAAAGCAGAGAAATAGGGGAGCTGGTGCGCCCTTGACGACAGACCATATTAGGATCTGGGCCTGGAAGCAGCGACTGGGGGAATCGGCTGGATTGGATCGACGACACATGCAGGCCGCCAATGGAAGAGCCGACACGGAGGGCGGTTGGGTAGGCATGCACTGAAGCCAAGCATTTCGCCGCTGCACGCCTCGGAGACGCTAGGCCTGTCTGGCCTGGCCCCGAGCTCCTGGCTTCGCTTTCCACAGCAGCAAGCGCGCCGTCTAGCCAGCTGAGACTGCCTACCTACTAGGCAGGACTGGGCCAGGCCAAGTGGGATGGTTGGAAGTTGGAGCCCCTCATCATCAGGGATAAAGCGTTGTTTCATCATCTCGTCCGTGGCTGCTCTCGTGTCATGTTTTGCCCAGCAACGCTCAAGTCTTTCCTTCCTTCCTTGGACATGGCTAGAGGACCGTAATTTTCATTCGAATTGATTTCACCACGTAATCCCCAACTTGTGATCTTACCAAGGGCTTTTCATGAGATTGCAGATACGAACCCAAGTCAACCGAAGCTGAAAAGGCGGCAGGTCGGCCCCCTTTTTGCGCGACTCGAGCGCTGCAGCAGCCACCGTCGTCGTCATCGGTTTCCCCCACTAAACATGGTCGAAGGGACAGAAATAGAAGGCTGCGCCAGGCCATCCACACCAACATAGACCACTTTGACGATCTCTACTGGTTTTTCCCACCTGACAATGGGCACTATCTTTACACTTCTTGTCATGATCTGATTTCGCTCATGCCCTACCTAATCAAGACGCGTCATCTTTCATATGTACTGCCTGCTGTTCCGGCCGCAACAAGATTTCATATTATCCTGTCGCTTGTAGATACATAGATAGGTACCTCACGTAGCTGTTGCAGCCATGCATGGCGGCCTTTCAACTGTCTGCAGGTGGCTATCGGCCCCTACCTCTCTTGCCTCTCTATCCAACGAAACGGCATCTCGCGCCATATTCCGCAACACCCCTTGTTACATGCGACAGGCCATGATTGGGCCAACCAACAATGACCTACATGGTGCTCACCTGTTCAACGCCGACGATCTATAACTAAGTCACCAGGCAAGCCCACGCTGACCTCACGTGGTCCTATTGGTAACTCTTTTGAATGTATTATTCCGTCGATATCGCAAGGCGTCGAGTAACTCTGCAGAGGATCAATCACCCTCCATGGATCAGATCCTGGGCTCAAAGGCTCTGCATCATCCCTCTCAATCATGGACTGATACGTTATCGCTGCTTTGACAGGCAATTTTTGGTGAGAACGCTTATCAGCAAACAGCTTCTGTCTGTTGACACACAGCTTCATCATGCTCATCCAACAGCTTCCACAGATTGAACACAAAGACACATTTGAGCCACCTGTAGTCATTCATAGCACTCCGCTCTCCTCGAAGCCGGCACTCGTCCTTCATCCACTTTCCACGTGCGGGCGCCACCCGAGCCCCTAGAAATCATCCGATGATATTGAGGCGCGTTCGTCATCCCACAGCAGGTGGCAGGCGTATGGTACTCACTTCCCATATCGCTTACCTTAATTCCATGAGCGATACGAGGCATACGCTTTAAGAGGCAGAATGCCTACACTCATCTAGATCCGTTCGGTTCTATTGATGTTCGCCGCTGTGACGGAGGCGGTCCGGGCGTCGATGAGTCGTTCGACGTCACACTCGGAGCCGAGAAGCGGACAACTGGTCCCCGGAAAACCCGCCGAGAGGTCTCCATAGTGCTCTTCGCCCGTGTCTGTCGTATGCGCGAACCGCGGAAGCTTTATGAACCTAACGATGAGCTAAGGCCAGTAGGAAGGCGCATAAAATGCATGTATCCATGCTGCAGTAATTCTAAATAAGATGCCTCGGCGATTACTGATCGTATCACGCAAGACTACAGTAGAGCATCAATGTTGTCATATTCCCGGAACCCCTTACTGAATCGTTGGATTCCTCGTCTACCTACCTAGGTACGTACATGGGACGTGTGTAGGGTTTCGGTGACTCGGTGAGTGGCTGACAAGTACAGTCGTGCCGAATCAGGTGTCTTGCAGATGGCGTCATCTGGCCCTGACAAATCAAGCTACGGCCCTGTCTCACACCCTAACAACCCATGCCCCAAGCTCGAGTGACCTCGTGTCTGGTGCGTACTGTACCACTGAGGAAGTACCTCGCTGGTATTTGTAGGCCTTCTGACCTGGAAGAATCTGCGAGCTTCGGTGTGTCTCTCCCTGCCCCGTCGCGTGGCTCAAACCCCGGCAGACACAGCTTTCGGTGCAGCGCTCCCTATTAGAAAGCACGCTTACTATTGCTGGAAGCCAGAGACTTCGTCAGAGGGGCTCAACATACGCCTTACAGTCCCCTTCCACTATCAGTACCAGCACCAGCACCCGCACCTGCACCCGCTCCCCGACCCAACCGCTGTCGTTATTTAGAGCACATCACCCCGCACCTCCATCCCACGCCGCAGCTCCAATGTCAACTAAATTCCTTCTACACTCCATCCGACCGGCTCTGTCACGACCTAGTTCCCAGTTCCTGTCCCCTGCCATCACATCTAGGCTGTTCCAAACTTCGTCTTTCAAAATGGGCGTCCACAACATCAACTCGTATGTGCCTTGCCGTCCCCTCTGCCGTCCTTGCGCAAGCGACCGTGTGCGACTTGGTCCATGACGCGATCGCGCATCAACCCCTCCAAAAAGATACATACTGACTTGGCTTCCTGTACAGCAAGGCGGACTTCTACAAGGCCATCAACGGCGAGGAGGTCACCCTCGCCGCCGACAACGTCCTGCCCAGCAAGAACGTCGCCATCCTCGACTGCTTCGCTACGTGGTGCGGTCCCTGCAAGACCATTGCTCCCATATACGCGCAGTGAGTAAAAGCCCCGTAACCCCCCATGCCAGATGGCGCCGAAGAACATTGTGCTGACAGGTTGTGCTCTCGTCAACAGGCTCTCCGAGAAGTACACCAGCGTCAACTTCCTCAAGATCGATGTCGACGAGGTCCCCGACCTGAGTCAGGAGCTCGGCATCCGCGCCATGCCCACCTTCATGGTCTTCAAGGACGGCGAGAAGGTTGAGGAGATTGTCGGTGCCAACCCCCCTGCCCTCGAGAAGGCGCTCCTGAAGTACTCCGCCTAATGTTGCCGCTGCATGATACCACTGGGAAGAGGAGGAAAATCACATACCATCGCCCTCGGATGGCGCTTCATGGAATGTACTGCTGCATAGAGAATACACGAGAACCTGTCATCATGACTTGCGGGCTATCATCTGGATGTATCTGTATATTGGGATCGCGATACTATTCCTGCCGTCTCATGCTTGGTCTGATGTGGTCGACGAACTGATCGTCCGATCTTGGCGCAACTACAGATCGACCAAACGCAGGTTTGCGTCATTAAACCACGTGGTTGATACCGCGTTGGCGCCTGTAGAAATTGAAAGTGTGTGCCGTTCATGAACGCGCTTTTCATGACTATCACAGCCCAATTCTTCGACGAAGTGTCTGATCTATATTCGGTCGTCAGCTTGCGCCGAAGTGACGTAATTTAGCCAAAGTTTGGTTTCGCTGATACATTGTCTCGGAAACTTTCATTCCCGAGTGAGTGCGAGTTTGGTATTACCTCGAGCCCAGAAGGGTTTGATGAAGCACACTGGAGTTCATGAAATCCCAAAACATGATGGTCTGCCAACAGACAAGTTTATGTCCCTCTATTTACAACCACGCAAGAGATCCTGGGCGTCGTCGACGGTAGTACCGATAAGCCTATCCTAAGCATCATCAAATATAGGCCAAGAGAAAATGAGAATGGAGTGAACGGATAACTTCTGTTCATCAGTTTGTGTAGCAGCGCATATATCTTTCTTCCCGAGTTGAATCTTGAACGGCTAGCCTGAGTCGATCCTTGACCACAGGGCACCTTAACAAACACCAGCCAAGACGTCGTCCAGATTTGGCCAGAAAATCCGACCACAGTAGTGTTTTTGCACTTCAAAGCGCGTACATCTATTTAGCATGTCTGGCTGCGAGCACCACTCATGGCCCTGATCCCGGTCCTGAGGGCTCCGTGATCGGGCGGTGGGGAGGCGGAAACCCCCCGCCCCCTCTCCCGCAGGCGGACTCGGCCGGGCTCAGCTCGTCAGCCTGGCCCAGGAAGCCTGCCCGCTGCACAGATGATTCGATTTGGCGGCTCCGCTCACACCATCGTCCTGGTGGCTGTAGTATTTCCATTTCACATGAGCAGCGATATCTGCGTTTGTCTTGTGCTTGAGTCATTGCACTATGTACTGCTGCGGCTAGCTGCGGGGTTCAATTCCACTACAACGGCGCCCTCCCCAAGGCACCTTGAGCCACCATCGCCCTATATCCCGACTCCATCCTCAAAGGACCAAGAACATACTTGAGTCTTCATCACACCTAGAGCCTTTGCACCTTGGCCCTTGCTCAAAAAAGAGCTAGAAATTCGTGTCGCAAAGATGGTGAAGAATATTGTCGTATTGGGGTAAGTCGTCTATTGTTTCCGTCATTGCAGTGCAGCACGCTTACAAGACACGCAGCGCCGGCGTCTCAGGCCTTACGAGTGCCCTGCTCCTGGCCAAAGATACGAACAACTCGGTGACGGTCATTGCGAAGCACATGCCCGGTGACTATGACATTGAGTACACGTCGCCGTGGGCCGGTGCCAACTTTATGCCGTATGTGGGCTGCGTTTCCCATGGGACGATGTTTGTGAGGGTCAACATGCTGACAGACGATGCGCAGCATGTCTTTTGAGAAGCAGAGTCGCTGGGAGCGCAGGACATGGCCTGAGCTCAAGCGGTTGGCCGAGAATGTCCCCGAAGCTGGCATTCACTTTCAGAGTACGTCAAAAGTCCCGAGTCCGCTGGGGCCCTCGAGGTACAAGAGGCTGACAGCACATGTGCGCGTGCAGAGGTCAGGATCTGGCGACGCAAGAAGGACATGGCGACTGGCAATGCCTACGACGGCCTCTTCGCAGAGGACCCCTGGTTCCGTCATCTCTTCGACGACTACCGCGACCTGAAGCCCGAGGAACTGCCGGCCGCCGCCCATTCGGGGAGCGAGTTCGGCTCCGTGTGTCTCAACACGGCGCTTTACCTGCCCTGGCTTGTCGGTCAGTGTCGCCGTCACGGCGTCGTGGTCAAGCGTGCCGTCCTGTCGCATATCCACGAGGCAAAGGCGATGCATCACTCGGGCCAGCTAGCAGACTGCATCGTCAACGCTAGCGGGCTGCTCGCCTGTCGCCTAGGCGGCGTTGAAGACGCCACGGTCATCCCGGCAAGAGGCCAGATCGTGCTCGTGAGGAACGAGGCGACGCCCATGTCGACGATCAGCGGGACGGAGGACGTGGCGACGGATGTAAGTTACCTCATGCAGCGGGCATCGGGCGGCGGCACAATCCTTGGCGGCACGTATGAGAAGGGTAACTGGGAGGCCAACCCCGACCCGAACACGGCGATCCGTATCATGAAGCGGTGTGTCGAGCTCAACCCGACTTTGACCAACGGCAAGGGCATCGAGGCCTTGGACATTGTCCGGCATGGTGTCGGACTACGGCCCACGAGGAAGGATGGTGTTAGACTGGAGACGGATACGAGTATTTTCGAGGACGGAACGCCTGTGGTTCACAACTATGGACATGCTGGCTGGGGATATCAGGGCTCGTATGGGTGTGCTGAGCGGGTGGTGGAGCTCGTCAACGAGCTTGGTCAGGCCAGCAAAGCGAAGCTTTAGCTCTGCGCTCCTCTTATCTGTAAGGATAGGCGATTCAGGCGAACGAATTTGTTTACAGCTCTGACCAAAGTTTCCCAAGTAAGACAATCATGGAGGGTTACACAGAGAGGATACTGAAAGGAAGAAAGAGGCATGTTGAAGGACAGTGTGTTCTATTCACAAACACGGTACACAATGCACGGTATCGGTCCCCAGAAGTTGTAGATCCGCAGCTGGTACTAAAGGCAAGCTCCAAGCTGCAGCTACATCAACAGCGACACGTCCGGAGAAGCAACGCACTGCATTGTACCGCGACGGCACATCTCAGCAGCCATGGCGGATCAGCAGCTTGCGAACAAGGCTGCAGCCCCTGCACAGCCCATCAACCTTCTTCTCGACATTGTTAATGGGCGACACAAGCTTTCTCGGGCCATCCCCATTGCTCTCCTGATCTTCGATGCTCTCCTCTGCATCCTGATCATACTCAAAGTTCCCTGTAAGCACCCCTCTGAGGCGTGCATGCCCTGACATGCCGCAAAGCTAACGCTGGGTCTTTAGACACCGAAATCGATTGGGTCGCATACATGGAACAGATTGGACAAATTGTTGCCGGCGAGCGCGACTACAGCAAGATCAAAGGCGGCACTGGACCTCTGGTCTACCCGGCCGCACATGTCTACACCTACACGGGACTTTACTATCTGACCGATGAGGGTACGAACGTTCTTTTTGCACAATTTTTGTTCGCCATCTTATATCTGGCAACCTTGGCAGTGGTCATGGCATGCTACTGGCAGGCAAAGGTGGGACCCAACAACCCTCGACCCTCGGAGTCTTGTGACATGCGTTCTGACGGCGGACAGGTTCCGCCCTATATATTTCCGATTCTCGTCCTGTCGAAGCGACTACACAGCATCTTCGTCCTACGATGCTTCAACGACGGCGTCGCAGCCCTTTTCTTCTGGCTGGCCATTTTCAGCATGCAGCGTCGTAACTGGGCTGCTGGCGCGCTTCTCTACAGCTGGGGCGTGGGGGTCAAAATGTCCTTGCTTCTTAGCCTGCCCGCCGTGGCTGTGGTCCTCTTCTTCGGCCGAGGCCTGAAGGGCAGCTTACGCTTGGCGTGGCTCATGGCACAGCTACAGGCTCTAATCGGATTGCCCTTCTGGGCAAGGCATATGCGGTCGTACTGGGGTCGCGCATTCGAGTTGTCGCGGCAGTTCTTGTACAAATGGACAGTCAACTGGCGGTTTGTGGGCGAGGAACTGTTTCTGAGCCAAGGCTTTTCGCTGGCGCTACTGACTGGACACGTGAGCGTCCTGTGGCTCTTCATCACGACGCGCTGGCTCAAGCCCGCCCAAAAGCCGCTGTCGGCTATGATCCCAGCACTCCTCAAGGCCGACTCGCCCTTCAACCCCCTGGAGGAGATCCAGGTTTCCGGGTTCGTGACGGTCAAGTACATCATGACCACGGTCTTGACGGCCAATGTTATCGGCCTCCTCTTCGCCCGTTCCCTCCACTACCAATTCTATGCCTATCTTGCCTGGGCGACTCCATACCTCCTCTGGCGCAGCGGTATCCCGTTCCCCTTCGTCTACATTCTGTGGGGTGTACAGGAGTGGGCCTGGAATGTCTACCCTAGCACAGATGCCAGCTCGAGCGTCGTCGTTGGTATGCTGGCCTTCACTGTTGGCAGCGTGTGGTTCGGAACGGCGAACGACAAGCTCGAGAGTGCACCTCTTCCGAAGCCTCACCTGCCACCGAGCAGGAAGGCTGGGTCGAAAGAGCAGTGAGCTTTGAAGGTTCGAAGGCGTGTAGTTCTTCACGGCTCGTCCTCAGAATCGGAGGGAGGCATCTTTCCGACGGTTGAGTCCTCGTCGTCTTCGTCGTCAAGGCCGCTGTTTTTGCCGAATTCCTTGGGCCTGTGGAAGAAGGGTTTATCAGCAAGGCTGATCACTCGGCTTGACACGGGGCTCCTTGGACATGAGGGCTCAAAACTCACCAGTAGGGCTGCTTGCGCCAGGCCTTCTCGTCACCGACTACATTGACAATTTCACCCAGGACGCGGCCGTTCAGCTGGTCGGCGTCGTAGCGCTCAGCCAGAACGTAGCCGCCACGCTTGATCCAGATCGTGTTGCGGAATCGCTGGGCGAGCTCGAGCAGAATGTCCTTCTTGTTGGGAAGCAAGCAGGTGTAAAGGTTGTTGCCCTCGGCCTTGATGACCTTGGCTACCGACTGGTTGGGCTCGAGAGCGGTGGGAGGAGTGGTCGACTCCTCGGCGGCCGCGAGGACATTGCGTTTTACGCGGACCATGATCACTAGCAGGCAGGACCGGTGCGCGAAGCGAATGTGCAGCAAGTGGCGTGTTGGACCAGCAAGGTTCACCTAGAAATTTCGTTCGGACCGGAACACGCGATTCAAACTAGCGGGATGGACCCCTTCTCTGCGAGACAGACTTTTGGTATGGCGGGGTAGCTCTGCGAAAAGCGCGGGGCAGCCTTTGCGCCTCGCACAATGCATACGACGCATTGTTAGACGTCCGCCCATAATGTAGACATGCATATAGCCCGAACTGTCTAAAGTGAAATGCCTTTTCACCTTCACCTCTTTCCTCTCACTGGAACCTCAACTGTGCATCCTCGGAACAGCCGAAATGTGCCACAGGAGAGACCAGCACTATAGGCAATCTCTCGATAGCTTACCAACCTTGTCCTCCCTTGCAGTAATGATCGTATCGATCTCTCTCCGCTGCAGCTGGTGGCAGAGTCATTGGGATGCGAGAGGAGGTGCGGACTGCCCAAAGGGGGAGTCTCCGCCACGACCCATCCATTTACAACTGCAAGATATGGCTGCGAGAGTAGAGCTTGCTGAGCGAGCTATCGTACTCCACATGCCGCTCTGCTCTGACATAGCAATGAAAACATCGATCACCACCGAAAGGTCACTATCACCAGACAACGTGCTCATCGGGCCTACATACGGCCTCTTTCGCCCCAACAGGCCTCCAGCCCACCGTCGCCACCATGTGCAGTTCGCATGTCGCACACTTGCCATTGCCGGCGTATCATGAGCCATCGGGATACGTGACGACCGGGTCTGATAAGCGGTAAGGCGGATAAGGCCCTGCGACGGCGGCATCCGGTGGTGGAGTGCATCCATTGTCCGGCAGAAGGCTCATAGGTCGGCCGTGGTCCTTCTACACTCCGCCTCGGGCAAAATTCCCAAGACGAGTCCGGTGGAGGTTCTTGGCGCCCTTTGCAAATCTTCCCCGGAGAGTCCTTAGAAGCTACCCTCGTTGTCATCGTGAGATTCACGTGGCCTAGGCTCGACCTTTTTTTTTTTTTCTTCCTTCTCTCTTCTGAACTCTCCGACTTTGCCTTTGCGCCCCTCGCCCTTTTTAGAAGCTCCGTCTTCTGGTCTGATACTTGAGATCGGTCCTTAACTTTGCCCACTTGCTCTTTTTCTTGTTCCTGGTCCTGTTCCACCAGTACAGATGCCTCGTATGCCTTAAGGTGCTAATCCTCTACCGAAGTTTTATCTGCAATGGATTCTTCCCTCTTCAAGTCTCTCGTCGAGGTCGAGTCTCGTGAGGCCTCGGTCGCCGCTGCCTCGCCCAGCGACGGTTTCCCCCCTCCACCCCAGAAGGCTGTCCAACGAACGTATCCCGGTGCCCCGTACCGGGGTGACGAGTCCATCGAGCTCCAGAGGCTTCACACCGAGCATGGTGTCAGCCGCCCGTCGTCTCGACCGGGAACACCACCCTCCTCACCGCCGGGCGGGAGCGATCTCGAGATGAGCCGCCCCGGCAGTCCTTCTCAAGATGCGACCGACATTACCGAGCCCCTTCAAAGCATGTGGGATCCCTACATGAACCGATGGCGGCTTCTGACTGCCTGTCTGATGAACCTGGGCAACGGTCTCAATGACAGTGCCCCGGGCGCCCTGATTCCTTACATGGAGAAGTGAGGTTTACCTTGAGCCTGGCAGAGAGACATGCATGACTGACTGACTTGGACAGGCACTACAACATCGGATACGCCGTCGTGTCGCTCATTTTCGTGGGCAATGCCTTGGGCTTCATCTTTGCCGCTGTGTTCCTGGACGCTCTGCGCGCACGCATGTCCCGCGCGCACCTGCTCGTATTCGGCCAGGCCATCCTCCTGGCGGCGTACATCCCCCTCATCGTCGGGGGCCCCTTCCCAGCCATCATCGTCGGCTTCTTCTTCCTGGGCTTCGCCATGTCGATCAACCTGGCCATGAACAACATCTTCTGCGGCTCCCTGCAGAACGCGACGACGGCCCTCGGTGCCATGCACGGCAGCTACGGCATCGGCGGCACGGTGGGCCCCATCATCGCGACGGCCATTGCGACGTCCGGCAACCCGTGGTACCGATTCTACCTGCTGCCGCTGTCGCTGGCGTTTGGCAACCTGTTCTTCGGCTGGTGGTCGTTTGCCAAGTTTGAGCGCGACCAGCCGCTGACGCTGCAGCCGACGCTCTCGGCGGCGGCGCTGGCCGCCAACTCGCAGTTCCTCTCCATGTTCTACGCGCTGCGCATGCGGCTCGTGCTGCTGGGCGCGCTCTTCATCTTTGCCTACCAGGGCGCCGAGGTGTCCATCTCGGGCTGGGTCATCTCGTTCCTCATCGCGACGCGCGACGTCGGCGACCCCGGCGCCGTCGGCTACGTCACGGCCGGCTTCTGGGCCGGCATCACCCTCGGCCGCTTCCTGCTGAGCGCGCCGGCGCAGCGCATCGGCGAGAAGCGCTTCGTCTACATCGTCACGGCCGGCGCCGCCTGCTTCCAGCTGCTCGTGTGGCAGGTGCCCAACCTCGTCGGCGCCGCCACGTCCCTCGCCATCGTCGGCCTGCTGCTGGGGCCCATCTACCCATGCGCCGCCGCCGTTTTCATGCGCGGCATGAGCGGCAAGCACCGCGCCAGCGGCATGGTCGTCATCTCGGCCTTTGGCAGCAGCGGCGGCGCCGTCGCGCCCTTCACCACCGGTCTGCTGGCCCAGGCCTTTGGGACCTGGGTGCTGCACCCCATTGCGCTGGGGCTGTTTGTGTGCATGACGGCCTGCTGGTTCTGGCTGCCGACGCAGAGGAAGCGCAACGAGTAGGGGGGGTTGGTGTGTGGTGTTTTATTTCTTTCGGGAGCAAAACCATGGTGGACAATGGTGAAGGGGAAAATTGCGAGCGGTATCATTTCGGGAAGGACTGGTCAGGTGTCACGGTGTAGTGGTCTACTGATGATGGTATGAATACGAATTTAACTCTTTCTTTTCATGCTCTTTCTCTCTCTCTCTCTCTGTATACGCCTGGTGCCACACATGCTACTATGCCAAGTGCCGTGGACGGAAATCTATAGTCTAAAGGAAATTGAAAAGCCTCCGGAGCTAGCATACCGTGTATGTTCAATATAGGTACTAGGTCTTCATGCACATCGTAGTCTCATCGCACTCTTCTTCTTCATTTCCTTCCCGCTGTGGACATTGAAAAGGGGGGGGGACTCGAGAGGTGGCAGGTCTACGTGTGGATGCGGCCGAGGGCGGCGTCCTTGTGGGTCAGGGTGCCGGCCTCGATGGCCTCGACCGTCTTGTGGATGGAGGTGAAGTCCTGGAAGGTGACAAAGGGGACGTTCTCGCGCTCGCAGTAGGTGACGAGGTCCTTGCCGGCCTTGGCGAAGAGGAGGTCAGTCTCGCGGGCGGCGGAGAGGTCGGAGACGCCGTCGCCGGCGTAGAGCATGATGGGGCGGTCGGGGCGGGCCGAGTACTTGCGGATCTCCATCGACTTGTCGTGGCCAAAGGGCGTGTCGTCGTGGTAGACGATGCGCCAGCCGGCCTCGTCGTTGATGGACTTGCCGTCGCGCGGGGCGACGTCGTTGCTGACGATCTGGATGTACGAGGCCTCGTCGCCGAGCCACATTTCGAGCAGCGAGCGGATGACGGGCCGCATGCCGCCGGAGAGGATGACGATGGGCACGTTGTGGGCGCGGCACCAGTGGAAAAAGTCGCGGAAGCCGGGGTCGAGCTTGATGTTGGCGCGCAGCGTGGCGATGCACTGGTCAAAGGGCAGCTTGATCGAGTCCATCATGCCCTGGAAGGCTTCGCGGAACGACTTGCGGCCGTAGAGGATGTGGTCGTTCTCGACGAGGCGCAGCTCGCGGCCGTAGCCGAGCTCTTCCGTCATGAAGTCATTGGAGTCCTTGATCGTGATGGTGCCGTCAAAGTCGGTGAAGAAGATGATCTTGGGGTTGGTGGCGAGCGCCGGGGTATCGTTGTCGGAGACGGAGCCCATTGTGACGGTGGTGGTGATGCGGCAGGGGAGTAGGAGGTAGGTAGGTACCTTAGGTGGGTAGGTACGTGGAAGTAGGGCAGTGAGGAGGTGTGGTTCAAGGAGAGTAGGTTGGTAGGTAGAGGTAGACAATGGGAGAGGGATTCACGATCGTCAAGTACGGGCAGCCCCTAAAGTTTTATGTCCGGCCAAGTGACGAGCGAGGCGCGGCAGAGATTTAATTCTATGGAGAAGGATCCCAAGAAGGATCCCAAGGTACCTGATACCTGAACCCGACCTGACCTGCCCTGAACGTGATGAACCTCAAGCGTCTCGTTTGTCCCTCGGACGGCACAGGTTCGCTCCCTCCACCCCTCCCAACGACAATCTCTTCCGACATCAAAGACCCAAGACACCAGATGCCCGCCGTCCGGGTCTCAGCCTGAATCGTCCCGCATCCAGGGGATCCAATCCAGGATGCGATGCGTTGTTTTGTTGCCCCTCATGCCATGGCAGTGTGAAAAGGTGCCCCTCCACTGCAGCGTCATTGCCCCTCTTCAGGGCCTTTTAGCGCCCTCGGACGCCCCCCTGTAGGAGGGGACCTGTAGCGTTCGCTGGCCCCTCCGAACCCGCCTGGTATCACCCCCCCTGATTGAGTGCCCTGTGGTGCCCTGTGGAGTCCCGTGTGTGGCCCTGTCCCGCCTTGTGAGGCCCGCTGTAGATGCACGCCGAGACGCACAAAAACCTGCCGAGCCTCCACTGTGATAACCAATGTACAGGGGCCCACAGCTACCTCTCACCGACCCCGTCGGGACCCGGTCAGTCGGTGTCGGTGCTTGCGCCGACGCCGGATCGTTCCAGGTTTGCACGAAGAAGGCGGTGAGTGCTCTCAGTCCGGCAGAAAATCAATCGAGGTCCAACAACGCGGCTCGGCTGTTCGTTCAGTGTCGATGCTTTAGTTGGGGTTTGAGCTTCGTCCAAAGTGTGCGTTTGGTCTGAAGTACCACAACTCATTGACTGAGGACGACTCTTGGCGTGTCATTGTTTTGGGAGCACACTATTTGGTCTGAACTGACCTACCTTGGTAGTCAGCTTTGCATCCGGCCTGCAGCATCAGCAACAACTGCAACGACATCCACCACCATGCAGTCACTACCACTGGCGAGGCCTGCATCATGGCGCCTCATGAACCAGCTGGCCCGCCCCTCTCCGACATCATTGGCGGCACGACGACATCTCCAACCAGCTAGCTCCCTCGCTTGGAAGCTTCTCCGTCCTTCTTCCCCATCTCCTCGATTATACTCTTCTTCGAACTCTCCTCCACCACCTCCTCCTCCGTCGCCGCCGCCGAAGCCTTCCGAGTCCGAATCAAAACCCGACTCTACCCAACACAGCTCTGAGCCGCTCATCGAGTCCAAGCCAGACCCAGTTACAACCAATTCCTCACAGCCATTCCTGCGGGATGGCTCGTTGCCAAAGTCTGAAAGCACCACAAGCAGATCATCATCCTCCCCCTCCTCAAAAGATGCATCCTCTCCACCTTCCTCCGACGCGGCCCCCTCCTCCCGGACACCGTCCCCGTTCGACCAGCTCTCCTCGCGCGTCCAGTCGAGCCAGCTGCTGACGACGACGATCCCCCGCCTCATCGACACGCTGCAGGTCCGCCTCCTAACGGCCTCGCAGACCCTCAACGATCTGACGGGCTACACATCGATCGAGCGCATCAAGACGCAGAACGAGGCGCTTGAGACGTCGCTCGCCGCAGCCCACCAGCGCCTGCGGGCTACGCGGCAGTCCTACAAGAACGCGACGGGCGACCGCGCCGCGACGCAGCGCGAGACGACGACGCTGCTCGCGCGGAAAGAGTCGTGGGTGCCGCAGGACCTCGAGCGCTTCACCGAGCTCTACCGCCGCGACCACACGCTCGAGCACGAGGTCGGCCGCGCCAGCGAGGCCCTCGCCGAGGCCGAGGCCGAGGAGCAGCGCCTCAGCCAGGCCCTCATGGCCGGCATGCTGCGCCGCTACCACGAGGAGCAGATCTGGAGCGACCGCATCCGCCGCGCCAGCACCTGGGGCACCTGGGGCCTCATGGGCGTCAACGTCCTCCTCTTCATCGTCCTGCAGCTCTTCGCCGAGCCCTGGCGCCGCCGCAGGCTCGTCCGCGCCGTCGTCGCCGAAGAGAAGTCCGTCCTCGAGAGCGTCAGGGACGAGCTCCGCTGCCGGTCAAGGGCCTCCTCGCCGGCACGCAGCGGGAGCGTGACGGCAACGCCTTTGTGGCGGCGGACGCGGACCGTGT